ACTTTTACATGGCAATGTGAAAATGCAGCAATCTGTAAAATAAAATAAATAAATAAAAGCAAAAAAAAATAACATAAATGAATTTTCTATATGCGATATCATGCATTTGGAGCATACTACAAGAGATTGCAAAAAACTCAACCAATTTAAAATGTTAAAGGGTTTTTTTTTTATATATATATAAAGGAAATAAGTTGTCCTGAACACCACAAAATGTAAAGAAAATGAAACGATCAGAAAATATTTGTACAAACCAAAGTGAGTTATTATTGATCCCATTATCACATTTTATACTCAAATAAATCCTTTCAATTTCTCAGGATGGAGGGAGAAAATGAAGCTGTGTTATGTTCCAAAGTTATTAAAAATGAAGTAAATTTATGCGTTAAAGATCAACAGAAATTGCAACATAAACAGAAAATAACACAGGCATCATCCCACCATTAATGGCACTTCAGGATATATATATAGAAAGAAAATCAGAATAAATATCATCATTTACCATTTTCAGACCAGAGGACGAATTTCCAAATTGGATGTCTAGCATTTGGGCTGAATTACTTTTAAAGCGTTTGCATAGCTTCCACTGTAGAGGCTGGGCATCTGGAAACCAGAAACATGCAATGTAATCACACAATGATTAGGACCCTTCAAGAATTGTAGTCAAATGAAGGTTTATGCGCCATACTAGGGGCCAGGCAAAGGGGAAAAGAAGATTAAATAAATAGACGTAGGTAATCTAACAATAAAATTGGAGAGAAGACCCATGGTCAACAAAAACAAAATGATTACCTTCAACAACCTCCTCCCACAATGATGAAGTTCCATCTGAACAAATGCATGCAACTGAATCACCATACTCTGGAGGAACCCAAACTATCTTTAAAATGGCAGCCTCATGTGCCTAGAAAGATGAAAATATTAATGTTTTCAGAACTTATAGTCATTGGAAAAGAGAAGAAGGAAAAAACAAGCCTTTTTATGCTAAAATCACCATACAGTAGTTTCTTTCATGGTTTATCAAGCTCAAATTCCCAAGGCCAGGTATTGTTAACATTTTCAAGTTTCACCTTGGTTAAGCCTGGAGCAACTCTCACTCAGTAAAAGATTTTTTGGAGAAAATTTTAGTAGGCCAAAGTCTCAGAGAGAAAGATCCAATCAGAACTCAAAATTGATCTATGAGCTTCTAAAGTGTTAGTACCAGAGGTGTCAAAATTGATGAATCTGTCAATGATGTATCAGCAAGCTTTCTGCCTATTTAATTCCTATCCCACATACGATCTTACAAGTGCACATTGCCTTTTCACCATAAAAATTTTCCCAAGCCTAAAGCCCTTGGCTCTATCAAGAAAATAACACAATGAAACAACTTCCTTGTTGACTTTAAATATTCCCTCTACTAGCTTTGGATTACAATTATTCCGATTAGTAAGAAGTATGATATGACCAAAATGACGGCATAGCATGAAATTAAGCTTTATATCTATAATTTTCTTCTTCAGCCGTCAATGACCCAATCCACTCCTCCACCCCCACTAATTCACTCCTCAATACACCCTCTATACTCATATTTTCCTTTTCTCTCTTGACCTACGGACTCGCAGCTCACATAAAGGCTCTATAAATCTAACCTAAGCCAGAAATTAATAACATGATTGATGTATCTCCAAAATTCTGAGATGTCCCCCATTTAAAATATGTAAACTAAGAAACATTTAGAAGTACGATCAGGTGTAAGCAAGCATGAATTCAAACTAGGATAATGAAGTCCAAGTGAAGTAACACGAAACTAAAAAAAGAAACCTTAAAGTTTGAAGTGCGAGTGAGGGACGTGGATGAAGAAGAAGGATCGGGGGAATCGAAGATGACGAGGGTTCCGTCGACCGAGGCGGTGGCTAATCTGCTGGCGGAGTAGTTCCAAGCTGAGCAGAGGGTGCCTTTATCGAAGCTCGCCATAGCACTCTCCATCGCAAGCTCTCAAGCTGTCGTTCGCGCCTTCACCACCTACGAAATCTTTCGCCCTCTTGTTTCGGGGTTTTGCCTTCGAGTCGCATCGCACTGTGTTTTAAGTTTTAACTATTATCTCTTTTTATTTTTTAATTTTAACAGACATAAACCTTTAAGAAACATTAATCGCGTTCCTAAATTTTTTAATTATATGGATTTAAATACTATTTTTTACTCTGTTTTTAAGTTAATTTTGGTCATTCCATCTATTTTTAAAGGGATTTTTTTTAAATAATTATTTTTTAAAAACAAATGTCAAACCAGTATAGATTTTAAAGTAATTACAAAAATAAGGTAGATGAATCGCAGGGATAAGCTGCGATTTGCCCAAATTCACAGACGATGGCTGCAATTCTGCGACTAATGTCGAAATCACGGTCATTGACCGCGATTTCACTAATGGCGGCACAAATGGAACCATGACGGACCCTTTATTATTTTTTATTATTATTTTATTTTAAATTTGGGAGTCGCAATCCAAATAGAGCCACTTCCTTTGTTTTTGGTTAAATTTTTCCCCCACTTCTTCTTCTTCTTTTTTAATTTAGAAGTTGTAAGCCTCCATTTCCCGCTAGTATCCCTTTGCTTTTTTTTTATTTTATTTAAAAAATTATAATTTAAGAAAAASACTATCATCTTAATTTTCTCCATATTTGGAAAATAGCTTATGAATTACCTACAATAGGATGGACATATTCTTGCAATGCAATAATTTAAAACAAAATAATTATAAAACAAACAAAACCCTTGTTATACATATCCCAAAATTTTGACTTTAAAGCCATATATTTCGCCATGCAAATGACAAAACATATGGATTTCATGTAATTTATATCTTGACTTTTAGGTTTTTATTAATTTAATAATTTTTTATCGATTTAGTTATATTAAATTTAAATGTTATTTTATAGAACATACGAAGATGCAACACGATAAGCTAAATGACATTTTAATCGGTTTTAAAATTTTAAACTTTTAGACTTTAAATGACATTTTAATCAAAATTTAAAATAAAAAACAAAAAATTTAATCACATCTTAATTAAATTTTGCAATATTAATAAATAACAAATAAATAAATTAAAATATTAATAAAATAACAATATATAAATTAAATTAAATTAAAAAAAATAGAAAGGTGGAAGTCGCATACAATATACACGACTTCCAAAAATAAAAAAAATAAAAAGGTAAAAGTCGCGGACAATGTAAGCGATTTCCGCCTAATCACCTACGTTTGCATGGAAATCACAAGCATTGTAAGCGAGTTTTGACTTTTATTTTGACCTAACCTATTTTTGTCAATAGTTTTGAAAACCTAACTTACATTTGAATTTATTTATTTAAATTGCATTTATTTTGTAGTTATTTTTAAACTAACATTATTTTTGTAATTTATTTTTTAAATTAGATTATTTTAAAATTTTGTCCATTCCTTCATTTTTAATTACTTTATTTTCAACTTTTTTTTTCCAAAACTTATATTTTTGTATCTGTATATTTAAAAAGTGAATATTTCGAAACTTTTACTTTCATTTTTCTCTTCTTTTTTATCATATTTTAAATCTCGATGTGATCGTAAAGTTGTATTAAATGATTTTTATTAGGTAAAATTTGTGTGAAAATTTTGTAAAATACTTATTTTTTTAAAAGTACAATAATGAGAAGTGACATTTTAAAGTGTAATGACTAAAATAAACCTAATTTGAAAGTAGGAATAATAGAGATAAAAAGTGAATCAAAAGTATGGGGACCAATGTAGTATTTAAACCAATTATATTTATCTTTAATATTTACCATTAACATTATTGATGGACGGACCGAGCTGAAAATATTCTTTTCATGTACAATGAAACATAATGAACTTATATTCTTTTCCACTTCCTTCTAGAAATTGGAAGAGCTAGAATTCTAATATTGTGTCAGGACCTATTGGGCAAAGGGAGATAGTTTATATGGGGTGTAGGTGTTGGGATAGTTCGTGTTGAACTTACAGAAGAATGATCAACTAATTGTCCTCATCTATATACTATAAATATACCTCAAGTATCTCCATAATGAAATGATATTGTTCGTTTTTGGGCATAACCCTTATAGTTTTGCTTTTGGTTTCATTTAAAACGTCTCATACTAATTGAGATAATTGTTATCATCTATATATCATTGATCACTCTCTTTCCTAACAAGTGTGTGACTTGTTTGCACACCTTACAAATCCAACAGTAAACTTCCCGAAAGATAACGGAGACGTGCAAAGGCTTCTTCAAGCCAAACAAAAAATAGCCTTCAAAGAGAAAATATAGATTATGAGAGTGTGTATTCTATATGTGTATTACAATTTAAACATAGTGGAAGTTCGAACCTATAATCTTATTATTAATGCCTTAACTAATACATTCAATTAATTCTTTATTATGTTATATTTGTCAAAACCCCATATAAATGTAAATTTAAGCAAATTACTTCGGACGGACTAAGTATCATAAGGTGAAATAGTTCACTTTCGTTTCTACTCCACTAGTGAAGTTGAAAAAATTAAAGAAAAAGTTATATTATTGAGCTATTATAATCAGTAGATAACATGTCAAGATAAGTCTCCTTCATAATTGACACGGGGAGTACTACTTTAAAATTGTATTAGTTTAACTTGATCTTTTAGTGAATAAAATCGAATATACAATTAAGAGAAATTATATATAATAATAATTAGATTATTATATGGCGCTAAACCACCCCAAGAATCCTAGAATAAAACTTAATATCGCAGTTGGAAAAATCCCCATTCAGAAAAGTCTTCATGATATGAGTTTTGTCTTTATTCTTAATTTCAAGTCAATCCTTCATTTTGAATCATTTGAATAGGGATTGATTCAAATTGATGAAAGATTAAATTAACTATATAATGATTCAACTAATTTATATCTCATTCACAACCATAAACTCTTCAAAACTAATTAAATCGAACTAAACTACACTCAAAATAAGAACAGGATGAGAAAATGCAAATATTTTCTATAATCAAGCCTCTCTCATGGAAGTATATTTCAATTCTCATATACAGTCAACCATAGAAAGAGAGGGTTTGGATCCAAAAGTCAATAAACTTATTTTTAAAAAAAGGAAGACATGAGATATTCAAACTTATGCAAGCTTAAGCTGCAAAATTATCATCCCAAAAAAATTACAAAAAAAAAAAAAAAGATCACATATTAACATATAATTAATTATTATACAGACAAAACTACACATAATATAATAAATATGTTTGCTAATTGCTAACTATATGGCACTTAATTAATTTCTAGGTTTAATGAAAAAAAAAACGTCAACTCAAGCACATGAGATGCCAAGGGAGTTGGCCGCCGCAAACCTCTCAGACGCCGTCTTCTTCACCAAAGAGCCGATCTCCGGCGAGAAACTGGGTGCGAAGTCGGCCTCGGGGACCTCGGGGATCGTCGAGAGCGAACCGACTTCATAAAACACGTAAAATCCATCTTTGGGTTGATCTTGAGCCCGAAAAATAGAGGCGGTGGAGTTAGGCTTGGGGCGAAAAAGCGAGCGGAGGAGTTTGGAGAGGGAGCGGGAAAACTTGGAAGAAGGCTTGGACGTGGGCACGGAGGGGGGGAGCGGGGGCGGAGGGCCACGGCGGTCGGGTAAGTGAGGCATGGAGAGAGATCTAGAGGCTATGGCGGAGTCAAGGTGGTGTTTGAAAGAGTTGAGCTCAAAGGAATCATAGAGAGTGCTTCCACAATCCCACACAAGAGATTTTGGCTTGTGATTCTCTAATTTGTTTGCCATTTTGCAGAGAGAGAGAGAGAAGATGGTGATTGAAAGAAAGAGGAGAGGGAGAGATATAATAATATGTGAATTTTGTGAAAAAATTTAGAGAGAGAAAGAGAGAGATGGTTGGTGAAGTTATGAGGGAAAAAAACTAAAAAAAAAGGGACTTTCCATATGGTTTCACGGCCATGGCATAAGAGCCATAAATTTCTCCCATTTTGGTGATGGAGTTTCATTCATATCTTCAATCTTAATTAATAATCCATACATTTATTGCAATATTGTTTTTAATAACTTTCATTTTTCTTTTAACTTTTTTTAGGCTATATTTTACCATATGTGAGGTTAACGTATAAAGTATAAACAACTTAAGTAAAATATTGTTATTTAATACAACATGTGTGGGGTGGGGATCGAACTCACAACCTCTTAATTTGAGATATATACCAATTAGCGTTGAGTTATGCTTATCACTTTTACTACGTCAAAAGTACTGTTCTTTTTAGCTAATCCTTGAACCCCTTCTTTCGACTCAAGTGTCACAAGTACCGACCAACATTATTGTTTGGATTTTATACTTTTTTTTATTACCCAAGATCAGTCGGTGGCCCTTTGGCCTTTATGCCCCTATACCTAGGGGTATGCGCAATGTGCCCATACCCATACATACGCAATGAGTCATTGCTTGGTGCAAGTTACACCCCATGTGGCTTGAGCCAAGGACCTCAAACTATCCCTTGGCGAGGAATTTTATACTTAAAAACCAAACAATGATAATTGAAACTATAATCGGTCAAACCTTTCAATCTTTTGGTTTAAGGTTGCTTTTCTCTAATTTGGTCAATTATGTTCGTTCTTTTTCCATTTAATTATTCTTTTTCCATTTAATAATTAATCTTGGTTGAGTCCTAAATAAAGGTGAGAGATTTTAACTATTGACAAATCAGGAACAATTAGTTCAGGTTTGATTTATAATTATTTCTATCTTTTGTTGACCTTAAATTAAAAGTAACAAAATACGTCAAACATGAACACAATTCAACGGTCTAAAATATTTAAATCTTTCTAAAAACTTATATGTTTGAAACGAAATTAAGAGTGATGACTTGTATCTACGTGTGGTTGTTGATGTTTAGTCAGTTGATAAGAGTCTAAATCAAATAGGTTTATTGTACCAACAAGAGGAATGTATCATTGTACTATGCTAAATTGTTGTTCAATAATTGTTTCGCATACAAAATTAGTATTAGATTGATAAGAATATGATGTTATTTTTTAAAAAGTTGCTTGAATTTGAACATAATTAGATCCCCTTAATTAAAATCAATTATTTATTGAAGCTCTTTTGAGATTTGTGTGTATATTTATTTACTTATTTAGGATAATTAGATAACGATTTTGCTTTTAGTTTTCTATTTTGAAAACATAAATTTGTTTACTAATACTAACGTTACTTTGCCATAATTCATTTTTAAATTATCGACCAATTCCAAAACTAAAAAATAAAAAGCTCTTTACAAAATTTTATTTCAAAAATTGATTGTCATTAAAGTATTTCTAGAAAATGGGAAAGAAACAAGCGGCTGACTTAACCAAATAAGCAAATTAGATAAAATAAGGGTTCAAAAATCTTGGTTTAAAATATATTCTACTAATCAATCCCATTAAATTTTTGTCTATCTTATTATATGTAATAGAGATAGTCTCTTGTGTCACATCAAAATTTTGTTTATCTTATAATATATAATAGAGATACTCTCTTGTATCATGTCATGTCAAATCATCACTTGTTAGTTCAATCAGTGAACCACCTTGATAGTTTATTTATAATCTAAATAATTATGTTAGGAATTTTACTTGTTGACATTTTCGTGGAAAAAACATTTAAATTTTTATTAACTATATTATATTTGTTTTTGAATTTGAATTTGAGCTATTAATTATTCTCACTTAAATTTTCTTTAATCATATTATTTTTTTATTTCCAATTTGAATCTGATTGAATGTGTCAAAACGGCTATATTATTTTTTGGAAATTAAAGTCTTACTAATTTTTAAAAGGTAATTAAAGTGATTATTCTTTTTGAATTTGTAGTATTTATGATGTGAGGGAATTATGGTTTAATTCGGTTTTTGCCTTTCTTATATGTCATTCAATTTTTCTATTTATATGTTGGGCTCGGAGCATATAGAAAACAAGAAATATGGAATAAGGTTTGTTTATTCCTTCCAATTATTTTTTTTAGGAAAGTCCCTCGCATTGTTTAAATATTGTTGTTATTTTTATTTGTGAGAATCTCATCCAGTATTGGGAGAAACTCATCGAATTTGAACCTCTGACTTCAAGAGAAGAAGTAAGTGTCGATTACCACTGAACATGTTCATGTTGGCATGCGCGTAAGTCAATATTCATTGTAAATTGTACTAACTTTTGATTGTTAATCTTATTCTCTAGACGTGACAATCACGTTAAAGATATTTTTATGTCATATCTTTATTATATTATCTTTTAATTACCAATACAATTGCATACTCTTAATTGTGTTTATTTTTTAATTAATATGCTATTACCATCGAGAAATAATTTTTAGATCCATAAAATTTAAATTTTATTAATAGGATAATATTTTAGCATGGCTAATTACATCTTTTAGATACAACCGACAAAAATTTAAGATACCAAATTTTAAATTTAATCTCGTGGTTATATTATATTAGCTAACGACCCACACATTGTTGCCTATTGAGTGATTGGACGATAGAAGATGAATATCAAATTAAGTTGAGACTGCCCACACCCCTATATTCCTCTCTTTTACTTAATTATTAAACTATTTTATTGAAAAAATCATATCATAAGGATTTGAAAATGATATCCAATATTTTACATCTCTGTGTAATGAAAACCCTGTTGCTTTGACTTGCATATTAATCCTTTGTTGGCTTTAATCTTCAAATAATTATGATGGTTTACTCCAAGAAAAAAAAAAAATTATGATGGTTGTTGAATATGGCTCAATTTACTAATGATGGTTTTCTCAAAAAAAAAAAAATACTAATGATGGTAATTTTTGCTTCTTTTTTGCGTACTGATGTGTTATATTAAAAATACTTTTGGAGCATAAATTAGAAACAAATACAGGTTTTGAAAATTATCTATTTAAAATTTTAAAAGTATTCAGTTACCATTTAAAAATATTTTTGTAGGAAAAAAGTTAGCTTAATTTTTTAAATAGAAAACAAAAAATAAATTTATTTCATTAGACGAGTCTTTAATTAAAAAGCTAGAGCATTCTCTTATTATTAGTCAAAAGCAAATAATTCATTTTTACTAAAAAATAATCCTATTTTATAAAATCTTGGAAAGAAGTCAGACTACCACAAAGTCTAAAATATGTTATCACAATACTGAATTTACAAATATAGCATCATCAAATTTAATCATAGTTTATAGGCAAAATAGCATCTTACCTAATACATGTTTCTTTAATTATTTTTATCTTTTTAAAATCAAATTCTTCTCTTATAATAACAAACAAATACAAAAGAGAGAGGATATTTGAAACTAACATAAAAAGGACAAAATCATGTGAATATATTAGTTGTATTTCTTGTCTCAAAACTACATCAAGATAATGTTAGGTAAACTTCATTAATCAATAGAAGCCATCCCCAAATTGGGGATAAGAGGGTAATTTTCTTTTCCTTTTGTAATAATATATTTAAACATCATATCTTTGATCCAACTTCCATCATCAACTTTTTAAAACCAAACCGTCAAAAAAGAAAAGAAAAAGACACCTACCATTTCTTGGACCCTAGGTTAGTTAGGTGTAATTCTCACAAATGAGAGAGAGACAGAGATTTATGCATATATCCAATTTACATTATATATATATATATATAAATCTTGAAGCAATTTTTTTAAAGATATAAAGTGAAAAGACAGATACTTAATTGATTTTGCTTTGTAAATAAAAAAAATCAATGAGTTAAGAAAAGATATTTTTGGATGTTTTGGTTATTCTTCATTTCCAAACAATGGAGATTTTAGATGTTTAACTGACTTGTTATTTGGTTTGTGATGCACAACTATAGTATAACTCAATTTGGATATAAATAAATAGTAATGTAAGTATATATTTGATATAATGCATGGTAACTCGATGGAATCGAAAGAAACATGGCCTCTGGCCACCAATTCTAAATGGCATCATAAATGGAAGAAAATAGGTAAAAAAGAACCTAATATATAACGTCATCTGTTACTATTTTAATGAAAGTCTCCTATATAGCAAAAGAAAAGAATTGAGAGGTGATACACATCCTACATCTCACAATCTAGAGAGGGCCATAAAACCATTTGTATTACGTCATGTGTGACAACTGATATATAGAATTTATTCCCTTAATATAACACAGCTACGAGGATGAAGTTAGAAATTTTCTTATTGAGAGACAAAATTTTACCTCTTTAATTTATTTTATATACATCATCTTTTAATTTTTAAGTTAATTTTCAAAGAATTAAATAGCACACTTTCAATTCGTCCATTAGTATAAATAAAGCTTCCGCTACCCCTAAATTCCAAGCAGGATGTACTTTATCTTTTGGTATTGAAGAGTGAGTTAGAGGAAATCATGCTAACAGGTTCCTCAAATATCATTATCGATCGATATCAAATCAATAGTGATTCAATACGACGATCCACAGATAACTTAAGAATCGACCAGAGGCACGAGCCGCCTTGTTTTTCGAAAGAGATCGTGGCCTAGTTCCCCGGTCGAAAAAGCGGAACAGGGAAGGGGCACACCCACAATTCCTAGTTTCCCTTCAGAAGATCAAAATCACAAAAGTTGGGCCAGCTCAATCACACAACTTCTGCAATGGGCTGGGCTAAGCTTCTGAGTTTTGGTACTCGTTTGGTCAGAACTGTACGGGGGCTTGGGTTGGGAGTTAGTCAGGTTTAGTACATCTTATTTAGAAATCCATCCTGCAATATTTGCTACCCAAGAATATAAAGGAATTACTAATTCTAAACATAGGAGTCATCATAGAATTTGAATTCATTCCCTCTTAATTAACCCGGTCCAATGAACCTTCCATATGATGGTTAACTATAAATCATATTATAATTTGTACCACTAACCACTTTGTATAAATAATTTACAATTATTCACCTTAATTATTGACATCATCCCTGTATAAAAAGAACAGAGTTTTACCGTTAGAATCCTATTTCTACTAAATTTTAGCCACATATAATTCTTTTAATTGGTAAAATGTCACTAGAATTTTAACTTTCTCGTCCCTTCTTTCACACGATACAACTAACGTCCTAACACCCTAACAAAAACCCGGAGGGAAACGAAAGAGCTTGCATATTTCAATGGGCAATCAAAGAAGCCAAAGACAACGATGTTACCTCAAGAGCAAAGTTCAATCGATGACATCATTGCTGAAGAGTTTGAACTTCCGGGCATCGAGGACTAGTTTGCGTATAGAAGAGAAGGCGCCCATGATCCCGACCCCGGTGAAGACGACTATGATGGCAACGTTGGTGCAATAGGTGATGGATGATTTATGTGGCTTGTGGGTGATGTTGTAGAGAAGCATTGGCAGGATGAAATCCAGAGGGATGAAGCCAATGGCACCCACCACGCCACTAATGTCTCCAAAGAATGGAAGCATTGCGGCAAAAAAACCACACATAATCATGTATGTTGTCCTAAGTATGAGCCTTGGAATGAGGTTTCTTTTGGAAAACATTCCTTTCTTTGCATCCGCTGATTGCTTCTCCATTATCTCGTAGGCAACTTGTGAATACACCTGCATTAGTTAGATGTAGAAAATATTAAAGATTTTTGGTGTTAAACTCACCGAAAAGTTCGAACTTAAGACCTTTTAGTCAATATGATCAAGAGATCTCAACTACTTGTCAATCAGACTGTCTTTTGGAAGCTTCATTTTTGTTTCTTTATTTTTAATAAAGAAAAATGAATTGCATGGCTCCGCCTCCAACATATCCAGTAATTAATAAAATAATATTTTTATTTACATTTTTGAACAAAATGGAAAATTTGAATACGAAAAAAGAAATTTATTTTGGTTGTTTCCAAAATTTCTATACAATTATGAGAATCTTCCAAAAAAAAATGAGAAATAATAAACCTGAGTAGTTGCAAAATGCTTAAATTTTTTAAGAAAATTAGGAACAAGGAACAAGGAGGAAACGTTACCAAGCCAATAGCGAGGAGTTGAAGAAGAACAAAGATGACAGCGAGGCCCAGAAGCCAAGTGGGGGCCAGAGCAGGTCCAGTATCGGGCAACAAGCTCTGCAGAATATTGGAGGTAGCCCTGTTTCCAAACACCCAATATCCAGACGCAGCAATGGCGTAGAAAGTAACAAAAATCACACTGTAACACATCACCAGCCCTTTCACCATCTTCCCGCTGGCAGGAGCAGCCAGAGTTGCCTGTTTTCGTTCCAAATTTAACAACATTATTACAATTCAGAGTGGAAATGTTATGAACCATTAATGATGGGAAATATAGTGGGAATAAAATCTCACATATCATTCAAAGTCTTGATCACGATCATGATCATGATCATAAAGAAGCTGTGTAATTAGTATTTTACTTGGATTTCGGGGAGGATTCCGTTCCCAAAAATGGCTGCTAAAATGGAGATGGAGGTGAAGGCGCTGAAGACTCTGGATTTGGGTGATGCTTCTAAGGAGTAGTCCCTCGGTGGAGCTTCTTTTCTGGTGGCTTCATTTTGCCAGAAAAGAAAAAGAAAAAAGCACATATCATTAGTGATTCCGTGCTATTACTTATGGAGCTGTTGAGATGGGTGCGAAAAAGAAAATTATATACCATTAAATTATTGTTTTATTAACATATTGAATGATACCTTACATAAAATCCAACTCGTCCATAAATAAAATCTAATCTAAGTCTTTTTTAAGTGGTGACATACTGACATATCTACGTGTCCAAATATGTTAACAAAACGATAACAAAGGAAAAAAAAGTTAAAACATTTTTAAGAATGATACTTAGATGTTTAATGGTCAACATCTATCTTCTTGCTGCCACTAAAAAAAGAAAAAAATATATTTATTTCATGCCTTCCTCCTCTTCTATTTGTCAAATTTTCAATGGTGGTCAGTAAGAGATGTGTGTTAACCGATAAATATCTAAATATTACGAAAATACTTACATATTTATCCGTTAGCACCTATTTTTTGCTAACAACTATTAAATTTTTGAAAGGTGCAGCAGCAAAGTATCTAAGTACAACTCTTATCCAATTTTTAATACACTAAAGACCATTCAAAAAGCATGCTTAATTACCACTACTCAAAAGTACTCTCATGTAAATCCTTATCCACAAGAGCCAATTTGAAAAATCTGGAGAACAGTTTGTGATTATGAAAGAAATAGTAAAACGTACCTGCAATGATACAGGCAGCAACAACGAAAAAGGCGTAGCCCAAGCTGAGAAGCAGAGAGCCCAAATTGAGGTGTCTAAGAGAGTGGAAGGTAGGAAGCTGGGACAGAATTATCATGGCCCCTGTTACTATTGCTATGAACTCGTACAGTTTCATTGATCCATTCGGATAAAGGCTCGTATATATTATCTGTATAATGCCATCACCAACAGTAAAAGCCATAACAACCTCAGTTTCATTGATCATTGATCCTCTTCTTCTTTCACATTACAGAAACGTGCCATTATCTTTAAAAGTACATTATCAGTAGTAATAATTTGACCAGTCACCATAAATACCATTACTCACTCACCACCAAAAGAAAGAGAAGGAAAAGAAAAGAAAACCCCACTAAAACTTGCTCATGCCCATTGCCATTTGGTCAACATTTCACACTCATTATCAATTAAAGCAGATTTGAATGTTTCTGAGTTCTTTTGGGGTTCAAAAACGGTGGTTGAAACTTGTAAGAATGAGTTTGGTGTGTTGATTTGACGGTGAGAATAAAAGGGATCTAGAGTTCACACCTCAATGCACTGCCCTGCAAGCAAGATTGCTCCAATTCCAACTCCAGTGTTGATGGCCGTTTGTATAAATATTACAAAGTAAAACATCCATCCAGATCCTGCTCAATCAAATTTAATTCTCCCCAATCCAACCTCAAAATTCATACATATTCCAATCAAGGACAGCTATTTAAGTCTAAATGAATTAAAATGCAATATAAATAGAAATATGAAAAGTGAAGGTATTGATTGATGATTGAATTCGTAGGTGCAGTATGAGGTGTGAAAGAGAGAAACGTGTGAGAATTGATGTAATTTGGCAACTACATGACTAATATGGATATGGATGTGCACAAGAGATTAATTAGCAGTGGGAACCTTGGAGTCTAATGTAATAAATGCTGTCTCTAAAAAGCCTTATGGATCATCCATTTCCGCGTGGAACCATCTCTCGCCACCACACCAATATTACCATTTGCAAATGCCATTCCCATTGTAACTTCAAAACCATCCAACTTTTTAACACTAATTTACGCAGTTAATGTCAAATATTTGACATTAAATGCCTTCAAGCCTATTTTTCATCATTTTTATATTTTTATTATTGTGGCCGTGGGGTGTCTAAGATAATATTTAAGTGCTTAAGATCTTATCACCATTAATGAATTGATAACTGACAAATCGAGCATCGCTCAAGTGGTTAAGGCACCTATCTAAGAGGTCATGAGTTCGAACCACCACCCCACATTTTGTATCAAAAAAAATTAATGAATTGATAACTAAGAGTTATTTTTTATTTTTGGTATCTAAAATTTCAATTGTTTTATATAATCCCTCATCTTTTTTTCTCTCTCTTTTATGTATACTTTATTTTAGTTTTTGGTTTGGCTCCCCCACAAACCAAGAAGAGCCCGGAACAATTTTTGTTTAATATAGTCTTATAAGTTTTTTTTTTTAAATTTTAAATTATATTTATTCTAGGCTTTAGTCTTTCACAATACTTTCCTACTTAATATTGTTCAATGTAATTTATAAAATTCTGATCTAAAATAGAATGTTTGAAAGTTTTAGAACCAACTAAAACCTTTATTCTTTCACTTTTTGAAGCTATACTAAAACTTAGTGGGAAGTGTATCCTACTCCAACATTCAATTTCTAATAAAATAATAAGTCAGCATCTATTTCTTATTGACCATCGTTAAATTTTTGGACAAATTGATAGATAAATACATTAAAAAAAATTTGTATCTTATTTTAAATAAAGAGCTGTCAAATTTTTAATTGTCATAAGTGAGTGCTATGTTCGAAGTTGAGTTTTTTAAAAGATGAAAAAAAAAAGAAATGATTAAAAATAATAATAACATAAATGAAACCACTGTAGAAATTATTTTTATATATATTAGGGACCTTTCACTTTCCATAAAGTAAATATAAAACAAATCTTAACGTGTCACGACTTTTCTTAGTTTACGCTTCAAAGTTCTAAATAACATAAAATTGCGGAGCAGAAATTAGAACACGCATGTGATATGAATGATGCGCTGCGCTTTATGATATATATTAATTCCAAAAATAGTTTGAGAAAACTTTTGAAAACAGATTTCGTCGGAAAAGGCAAAGAGAAACGGAATTGATAAGAGGAAGATCATACCTAACACGTCGGCGGCGAGTTCCCGGAATCGGATGTGGCGGCGGCCGGCGTTCTCGCAGTGATCGAGCACCTTCGACATGAGGAAATAGGAGTAGAAAGTCACCACCGCCATAATCGTCAAGCAGAAAAACCCTAATCCCCATCCCAATCCTCTGAACGCGTACGGCAGCGTCAGAATCGTCGGTCCCACGATCGCCGTCGTCAAATGGAACCCCGCGTGCCACCATTCCCCTGTTCCAATCAAAATTTCAGGAACAAAATCAAGAAATTAACAGCGGATAAAACTCCATTGTTAATCGATCATCCAGAGAATCCAAAATTAAAAATAAAAAAAAAGTCGATGATATTATTGATAGCCATAGCATGCCAGCATTCCCCTGTTTAATCGTCAATCGCCGGAACAAAAAACAATAAATTAACAGCATATGGAAATTTCACTATTATCGATCATCCAGAGAATCGAAAAGAAAAAGAAGACGATTGTAGTAATCAAAGTCTTGTTGACGTTACCTTTGGATTGAAGGACGAATGATGCTCCGGCGTCGTTTTTGCGGTCGGCGTCGGAGAATCGGTCGTCGGTGATCGGAGGGTGATTCACCATTGCTGTGGAGGCGCTGGAAGTGGAATATCAGAAGAGGGAAGAGGAAAGGTGGAAGACGGCGGGAGAAGTCCTCGGAGTTGTCGCCGGCGATGGAATCCAGGGCACGTGGAGAAGGCGAGGCCAGAGCCAGAGGGGAGACTGAAACTGCCGGCGAATGATATTTAAAGATTTTGAAAAGTCAAACAATAAGAATAACTATCTATAGTTCTATATTCCTTTTACGTTTCTTTTTGCTTTTGGTTTGTCATTTATCCTAAATATCTCATTTTTGGGATGCATAACGGCAGCAACTAATTAATTTACATAATTACAAAAATTGTGGAATATTTTTTTTTTGTTAAATTTTACTCGATCTTTTTAGGTCTTTTTAAGTACAAGTAGGGTAGACATTCATATTCATGACTTTCTTTTTGGTAGAAAATAATTACCTAAATTAATTAATATTCTATAAATCAAAGTTAAACTATTGATACTTTTCAAAAAATAAAAATAATAAATTATTGATGTACAATAAAAGAAATTAAATTATTTATGTAATTTTAGCTCAATCTAGGTTGAAACTACTTAAAAAAAGTTTTAAAAGGTGTTCTTTTAGCATAACAAATACAAAATATGAAGATTTGAAATTCAGGCCTCAAAAGAAATAGTTGTTATTCACCATCTATGATAGAAAATACCCCTTCAAAAAAAAATTTTATGGTAGAAAATAAAAAGATATTAAAGAGGCTTAATTACGAATATATTGCCATAGTAATTTATTGAAAATGATGTAAAGTCTGACGAAAAATTCTTGTGGTGATAAATTTTATTCATGGCATTCCACACAAATTCTAGAAGAATTAAAAATAAAAACTTCATATTAATTTATTTTCTCAAAGTTTACAATTATAGTTATAATTATAATCTATTTTTCTATTATCCATGGAAAAGATATATATGATCCAGATCCATGTTCCAGCCCATTGGGCTTCACTTCTTATAAAAGAGTTATTAGACCGTAGTAGTTGGGCTTAGTGGACAGGCCCATCCAAATATCAGTAGATATGCTGAGGTCAGAACAATTTTCCCATTAAAACAGAACATATACCAATTACACACCATTTCAATACTACAATTCCTTCCATCAACAGCTTCAGAAATCTTTTTTTTTTTTTTTTTAAATACCTACCAACAAGAAGATTAGCAGCAAACTAATCAAAACCAGTCATTGTTAGGGACTGTTCAAAATACACTTGAACAGTGAAAAAAGAACAAGAGTTTTCCCAATAGTTTTCTTCTCTAGGCCTTCTTCTCATCAGCATCAGCAGCATTCTTCATTTCAGCAACAGTTTTGTTGTATTCCTCCACTTCCTTTTTGTAACCCTCCATTGCTTCTGCAGCTCTATCATTCCAAATTTTCCTTTCCCCTTCACTCAGTTCCTATAAAGAAACAGAAAACAGACCATCTCTCAGCAACCAGAATTCCCAAATGTCACTAATATTATTATTAGTAAGCAGAAAAAGAATTGCAGTGGATCCAAACCTTCCATTTCACTGAAATCAGTGCATTAACTGTAGAGTTGTTAACTCCTGGCCTCTCCTCCATTACAGTTTTCCTTGCTTCCTTGCTGCAATTAGCACAATAATGGAATTCACAGATTCAGTAAGGCCTTTCACAAAAGAAATTCTTAGTGTATTTGGTTTGTTTTTTTCTTCAACCTGAACAAGATGTAAGAGGATGCAGGCTTCTTGGGCTTGTTGGGGTCAACATTCTTCTTCCCTTCCTTCTTCTTCTTCTGGCGCTCCTCTTTTGTTTTCTGTTCATAATCATTACATATACAACAAAAAGTTCATATCAATGGTTTTGGCTAATGGCTAGTGCAGTCCATATGACAGACGAATGCAATCTTTTTACCTTTATGATGGTCTCATTTTTCTCTTTTTTCTTCAGCAACATCAAAGCTTCATGTTTCTGAAGCTTCATTTGCTCTTCCTCTTCCTTCTTGAGGATAGCTGCTTCCTCCTCCTTTTTCTGCTTGTAAATTTCCATTTCCTGAGTGTATTTATCCCTGTTCTTCTTCGCCATCTGCATGATGTTCAAGAGTTAATATTGATCTTTGATGAAACATAAAGAAAATCTGTTTTTGGTCTTGAATTCTGACGAATACTGACCTCTTCATAAGGTACTCTCTGCTCCTCTGTCATGTTCTTCCACTCCTCACCTGCTAACTTGGCTACCTGAATGGTAAAAACAGTTTAGTTACAAAATTGGACTTGAAAACCAAATAGAATCACCAAACATAGATAAATCCCAATTAGAGAATTGAGAACAAATTGTTAATCTAACCTCTAGAATATTCTTGTTCTCAGCGAGAAGGGTGGCACGCCTCTCATTTGAGAAGAGGAAAAAGGCCGACATTGGTTGCTTGGGCTTCAATGGATCTTTCTCTTTCCTAAGAGACATTTCATCAAACATTAGTAATGCACTTAAACAGTGTCAACAGAGAGGATGGTACTACTACTTACTTCTTCTTGTTCTCCTTCTCTGCTTCCCCTTTGAATTGGAGGTACTGCTCAAGCAGCTCCATGGCTGTCTTCTGCTTCTGCTCCTCTTCTAACAGCTTCATCGCCTCGCTCTCACGCTTCTCTTTAGAAGTGATCTGCAAAAAGGCTTCTTTTTCAGCCTGGTACCTCCCCTCATATGGCTTCTTCTCATCTGCAGTGATAGTCTTCCACTTCGCTCCCAATATGTTCGAGATTTCTTTGAACTCTGCCTCTGGATTCTCCTTCTTGATCTGGATTAGAGGATGAAATTGTGAGTTTCCACAGTAGTTACTTAACAGGCATCATAAATCAAGAATCATCAGCAATATATTTTGAACTTACCTCGTTCCACTGATCCTTGCACCATAGAATGTAAGGTGGAGAGGGCCTCTTCTTTTCGGGGCACTTCTTCTTCTCTTTCTTCTCTTGTTCCTTGTCTTTGTAAATTTGAACCATAGGGAAGTTCTGGTTAAGATAAAAAGTTGATGAATCATCAGAGTTGAAAATTGAAACAGATCTGAAGATTCCTTTCCGATATAACAGACAATAATGTGATAAAAGCAGATCTATAATCAAAGAATAGCAAATTTCTTGTTCATTTCTTCTGAGTAAACACGAGAATTCGAAAAGAAACACAAGATCAAGAAACGAACCATAGTAGGTTTGAACTCCTTCAACTTCTGCAACTTCTTCAACTCGATGTGGAGCTTCTCCTGTTCTTTATCCCTCGTCTTAAGCTCTTCATCCTTCTGCTTAAGAATCTCATCTTTGGCTTTCAAAAGCTCCTCAGTCTTCTCCTTATCGAGCCTCAGTTGTTGAAGCATGTCCTGCATTTCCTGCAACTCTTTGTCAAAGGACGGCTTCGCCTGCTGCTTCTTCGGCGCAGCTTTCGATTTCGATTTTTTAGGCGAAGACAGATTCTGCGAGAGGCTCTCCTCTACCGACGACTGCGTTACCTTCGTAACCATGGATTGAGATTGAGGCTCTTCCGGGGAAGAGTTTTTGTCCTTCAGAGCCTTCCGGCTGTTTCTAGGTTTCTTCGTCCGTCCGGCGGGTTCGCCATTGATCGGAATCTCAGCAGTCGCAGAATCGGCCATTGAAGAGAGGGGAAGAGAGGGCTTGAAGGCTTAGAGCGTAAATTTTGAAAGGTTGAAGGGAGAGTTTTATAAAGGGAGAAAGGAGTTCAACGGTCGGATTTTTCTTTCAAATTTCAAATAAATTACCGAAATTGAATGCTTGTTTTGAGATCCGGCGTCTCAAATCCATTTGACCGTTGATGTTTTTTCTTTTCCTAGAAAAATATATTTGATATGTGTTCCATAAATGTAAAGAGGTTTACATGGCAAAGAATTAATTGTGTTAAAAAAAATTTAAAAAATATTTTAGTTGTTAAATGTTGCCAAAACGAGCATACCTCAACGATAATTGACATATATCTCCAACCAAGAGGCTGTGAGTTCGATCCCTCACTCCCTTATCTACTAGAAAAGAAAGTTGTTAAATGTTATATGTGATTATTGAGTTACTTAAGATTTCTGGGATAAAAAAATCATGATCAATTCATATTTATTATCCTAAAAAATTACCCAAATCATGTCTGAATTATTGAAATTACATCTTTTTGAATTTTTAAATTAAATAAATTATATTCTCAATATTTTTTTAATACAAAAATATGTGGAGTGAGGATTCGAATTCATGACATTTTGATGGGAGATATATATGCTTTATTCAACTACGTTTAGATTGATAATTATAATCTCATTATTGTTATAGTATTCAAATTTAATTCAACCGATAAGCCATAAGTCTCTTTTTATTGGACAAAATGAATTGAGCCAATGTCTTTAGAAAATTTAAATCGTACACTAATATTTAGGACCGTTGGTAACATTTCATATTTCTGTTTCCTCCCTTTTTAATAAAGAAAAATATAATTGTATGTTCCTAACACTTACAAATTCAAGAATGATAAAATAATATTTTTATTTATGTTTTGGTATAAATTAGAAATAGAAATAAGAAAATTATTTTTATTATTTCCAAAATTTTTATCGTTTCTAAAAAAAAAGACTAAAAATATAAATAGTTTTTGTTTCTTAATAAAATTGGAAATAATAAATAATAAACAGTAAAGTTACCGAACAAACTTTCTTTTCCTTCCCCTTTTTTCCTCTCTCAAATCAGGGCAACCAAAGAGAGACAGCAGACCAAAATTCTAAACATCTCAGAACAGTTATTTTGTTTCACCACATCAATCTTGTTCTTTATGCATAAGTAATGGATTGTAATTTGAACATTAAATTTAAAAAAATATAGATAAATAATGACCCCCACAATTTTTCTAACAAACTTCAAATTTACATACTCGAGACAAATTATACAGACAAAACAATCTCACGTTTCAGAAAGAATCTAAAGCAAATGTTTTTGAGTTCCACAGGGCAAAAAGGTATAGGTGTTAGCCATCAACCACTGATTGGATGTACATGGGTCGATTGCTGCATCGGCTTATTTTACACGAATCAGAAGCCGAGTCTCCGAGGGGGAGTTCCGAAACTCTGGAATGCTTGTATGTCTCACTTGAGTGTTCTTGGTACTTTCATGCCAAACCCATGCTTTACTTTTTCAATGCTGTTCAAAAAATGTCCAGGATCAAATGTTTTTCTAAGTGCTGCTACTTGGAAAGAAATATGGTAAACTTTTTAGAAGACAACATGGTTTCCAAACACAGTCGTTTTTCTTTTCAAAAGATAAGGAACTGGAGAAAACATTAGTATAGGGCATGTGGTGAATGAGCAAGGGAACTTACGTCGGGGCGAGTCTTCCCAGGAAATATAATTCTTTCCCGGAACTTTCATCGACAACTCTTCCCGAGATGTCGATTCTATAAAATTTATCTGTAGTAGTAGGCAACCCTCTGCTAGAAAGCAGCTCCAAATCCTTTTGATGAAGTTCTCTCCCATTGATATAGATTCCAGTGTTTCCAGAAGCACAGTTCCTTGGCATTGGATAGGTGAACTCGTCGATAAACGGCTGAATGACAGGCGGATAAAAAGTTAGTTTATTAACAAATTCAATAACTTCGAGCTGTTAAACCATGGGAAAGAAGCTTTCAAACGAGAAATGAATTGGAAAACTCACAGGAATGATGCCAAGACATGGATGGCCCATAACACCCCAGAATCCAGCTTGGTAATCATACCTGATAACCACAGATTAGAGGGGGAAAAGACAATATTATGTCAGATATTTTATTAACGTAAGACTTCATAAATATGATCTTTTGAAGAGATGATTTGTACAAATCATTTTTCCAACTATCCCCTTGAGGTCAAATTTCTCAAAGGCAACTGCTACTATAATCATAAATTCAAAAAATGCAAGTTTTGAAACTTGAAAGATGAGGATGCATCCAAGAGTTGGTGAGAGAAAGAAACTTACCAATAATCTCCAGGTAGAATTGGCCCAGCTAGCTTTTCAGCCTTTTTTACTACATGAGGTGGTAAAGGCTGGCCGTTAACTGAAACATTAGGTCTTCCATTATCCACAATTTCACTAGATCTTGAGAAATCTCTCAAGTTGTTCCTGCTGAGACCCACAAAAAAGGTTTCAGATTCATTACTGGTCTTGTTTTGAACTTCTTCCTCTTCTTCTTTGCTTATTTCCACTGAATCTAGAGAAACATGAGTGTTTGAATAATCTTCAAACGAAACGTCCAACTCACTTGCCCCGGTGACATCGTGGATCACAGTATTCTGCTCATTTTCACTTCCCTCTCTATATTTTCTTGGTTCATGCTCATTATAAGAAGAGTTATCTGAATTCTCATTAGAATTTGCTAAAGATGGTGTGTTTTTTGAAGGCAGTTCAGTAGAGTTGGAGAGATCTTTCAGGCCACAATTGCTGGCTGGAGTCTCTTCTTTTGAAGAAATGAGAGATGAAGATATTACTTCTTGCTTTTTAGATTCACCAATATTCAAATCCTGGTCGTCAGATGGCTTGACGTGGCTGGTGTTGATCAATTTGTTACTAGAATTATCAGAACTTTCTAAGCAGGAGTTGGTGGCATTGACAACTCTTTTGGGGGAACCATCATCAGGGGAAACTTCTTTGGCCTTGGTTTCTGCTGGAACGCTTACAACAAGTCTTCTGTTCTCGACTTTTACGGTAATGACAACCGAACAAGCACCACACTGTAGTTTCTGCCAATCCATCTCCAGCTTGTAAAGTTTTCTTGGCAGTTTCAGCAATTCCAAGCAACTAAAACATACAATGAACGGGGCACCACCTGCAACGGCATCACAAATCTTTCCATTTCTTTGCAAAACTGCAGTACTTGGTTGGCCCACACGAAAACCATCAATGTCTGATTCAAGCTCACTTGGCTGTCTTGAGTGTGGATGTATGTCTTGAGATGGGAACCGATTGACACGTTGCGAAGTGGAAGCCTTGAATCCAACTGTAACATGATCCTCATTATGATACATGCTAGATTTGATTGGTTCTTTTGGAGTTCTTGGATTGCTTATAGGAGAGTTTGGCGCTTGAGGAGGGCCTTGCCTGTTTCTTTTGCTGCATTGTGAACAAGAGCAGGTGGGATGGTGAAAGAAAGCATCTTGAGCATGAGGATCTTGTTCGTAATCCATGAATCTTTCCAGATAGTGTTCACGAGGAAGCCTTGGCGGATATTGATGAGTTGGCGGATAGTTAGCCTTCCTTGTCGTTTGCTGCTGAAACCGATCCTCGTACAGTGGAATGTCTTTCACAACATGCCTGGGAGGATGTAAGAAATCATCACCATTTCTGTGATGATGACCTGTTTCAGGAAAGGTTCCAATGTCCCGGTCGGAGTAATGAGGACCATGGATGTGCGGTGGGCTCTGTGTCGAGAATTGCATCGGTACATTGTAAGGAGGTCGACCGCAGTATGAATCGACTGGAGCTCTATCAGTGACAACTCTTGGTTTATCTCCCAAATCACAAGACTTTAAAATTTGGTCTTTCAACTCATCCAACCTCCTAAGGAGTTCAGCTCGATTTGGGTCCAAACCTTCCACAGCATGTTCATAGGTCCGAACAGGCTCATGATGACCATAGAACATATCCAAGTTCGAACTTGAAGGTCTGTCGCTAGGATAGCGGAAATTTGGAATTCCTTTTTTATCAGCAACATCCATAGAGTTTCCAGAATACACTCTGAATGCATCTCTTTCAACTCTTTGATGCTCAAAATTTGCTCGGTTTCTCGCTGTTCCAATAGGATTACCATAAGGTGCTGTACTTGAAGAATCAGAATCGTAAATATTCATGTCCTTTTCAGGATTATATCGACGAACCCAGTTCTCGATACGTTGTTCTGAAAATCGACCATGTGATTCTTCAACCAAACCAACTTCTTTATCTGCAAGTCTCTGCATGGGCCAAACTCCCTTGGTTCCCTTCTCACTCTTCCTCTCATAATCATCTAAATCCTCTTTATCATTTGATCTAATTGGACTGTTGCTAAAGGCAGTCCTTCTGGACCTGAAGTCTCTCTCTATTCTACTTGTACTTGGAGTTGGCTCCATGCTTGGACTGCCCCACTCAGAGTCAGAAGCACCACCCGAACTACTACCTCCTTGTTCTGATAAATATTCAAGTTTCTCACAGCTCCCAGAATCTTTTTTCTCAATAAGGGGAACTTTTCCCTTTGCTGCACCAACAAAATTGTGATACAATTTAAAATTCACCAAAATGCTCACTCAAAAGAAGGGAAAAAGGGAAAAAAGTTGCAGATCAAACAAGGGTTAAGTTACAATTTAAAACTTTGATGGCAGTGTCTAATTCGTTGTTAAACTCTTCAATTAAGTGATTGAACCTTGGTAGCGTTTTTGGTTGCAGATCCCTCTTATGGCATCTTTGATTGGAAAGAAAACTTCGTAGTCTTCTACTTTTGACATTTTTATTGTACAAATGTACATCACGCTGCCTCTTGATGGTGCATAAACTATAGGAAATTCTTTTGTAATTACAACTTTTCCATGGATATGAACAACTGGAAAGGGATTGTTTAGTCCTTCTAGGTGAAGTTCTCTCTACCCAGCCCTTAGGTTGTCTCCTTTTGGGTTTTCTCTAGAATATACAAGTTTCTTATCTCAAAAAACCTTGGTGGCGTTTCCTATTCTCTCTTGTTGGTTCATCTGGTTAGAAGGGGTAGCTAGACAAAATAGATTTTCGTAGAATTTGATATGTTACTCCAAACAAAGGAGTACATTCCACGTATCACTTCGTTTAGCTCACTTGCCACTTATCTACCGCATCATGTCAAATCAACCAACATTTGTGCAATACACATGTTAGCAACTACACAGAATCACAATTCAAAGTTAAAAGTATAATTGAAACAATGACTAAATAAACACAACAATTTTAATTGACAAACTAAATTTATGGTCTTAGAAACATTGATAATTGACAAATTACACATCTGGCGAACTCTTTTCTATTTCCTCTCTACCTTGAGTCAATTTCTCAGCAGCCAAACAAGAGAGATCAAAAAAGAGTTAAAAGGAAATCCATACCTCTAAGAACAGCACCACACCCTCCACACTGATAAACAGAGATTCCCGAAGGTTCAGGCAAGTAATTATCGCATCTGGGACAGCGAACTACTCGAACTTTCTGCTCCCCAGCCATCATCCAGAACCCATAACAAGATGGAACTTATAAATTCTTCAAACCCATCAAATAGAAGAAGCAATCAAACAATCCCAAAAACCCAAATCAGTTTGCAGACGACAAAAAAAGAAAACTAATCAGGGGTTTTCCCCTAATTGAAGAACAATTATACTAGGGGGAAAAAGCACAAAAATCACAGACCCACAACAAGTAAACGCAGTAAACTCAAAGAAATAGCATTGGGGAATCCGAAAATCATACAAATTCTTCAAGAGAGAGAGAGAGAGAGAGAGAGAGAGAGAGAGAGAGAGAGAGAGAGAGCAATTCAATTCAACTGATCACTTGGAAGATTGACAAATTAGCCATTCTTCATGCCGACACGGTTGTCCCATACTTGTCTCCAGCTTGAACGGTGAAAGCTATGGAGAAAACCATCGAAACGCCATCGTTTCCATCGCAACGCTGTCGTTTTAGAGGTAGTTGGATGATTTTCCCGCGTTCTGTAATTAAAGCGCATGGGCCAAGTCAGACGAAGAGCTGCAGAGACGATCGAATAGTAAGGTAAATAACGTTGACCGATCAGCCCAGCACGATAGCAATAAAATTACCATTATACCCTCGACGAAGACGAGGGATATAATCTGCTGCGGCAGGGTACATGATAAAATTAATGTCAGCTGTATTTTCCTTATAAAAATTAATAAATAACTACCAACTGTCTAGTGTCTTCGGGTAAAGTATAAGGTTTTAGGAAATATAAATATTAAATGGCTGGGTTTTATGTTGACTTTTCTTATTTTCCAAAAAATACAAAAGATTTGAATGCTTCTTAAAATATTAGAATTTTGAAAAAAATTATATTTTTAAATAATGAGGGATCTTTTTTCCACGCTGTTTCAAAAAAATAGTCAACTTTCTAGAGGGCGTTTTATACCGTATTAGTACAATGAGTTTAATATGAAAAAGAAAAGGGAACAATAATAACTTAAAAGGATGGAAAAATAATTTATTAAAAATATATTAAAATTAACCGGTGGAGAAGTATATTTCTTGCATCGAACTCAAATATAGCTTGGATTAAATAAAGAATACAAAATTAACCAATTGGACAAGAGACTGCACCAACCAATGTTACCTGTGGCTCATAACGTAGTCAAACTCAATCCTATAGTTCTTTGAAATTCTTCCCTTTCACATTGGAGCAAGAGATTGCACCGACCAACATTACCTGTGGCTCAAAACGTAGCTAAACTCGATCCTATAGCTCTTTGAAATCCCTCCCTTTCAAGTTATCTTTCTAGCATGAGAGAAAAATGAAAAAAAAAACTTTTAAAAATAATGAGTTCGTTAAAATATTTAATGGTGGTAAGGAGTAAGTTAATCTTTATGAGTGCGAGTTTCTATTGAAAAAAAGTAAACTTATTGAGTCTAATTTATGTGGGAGGTTGTATTTGTTATTTGTCTTTTTGTTGACTATTTGACCATATTTTCTAGTGTGAAATATTGTTTTTGTTTAGAAGAGTTGGGAGACTTCTATTATATTTTGGGTATGTTTGAGATTCACTTTTCTTATTCTCATTGACATATTTGGCAAATTAAAAATTTAATTTTATGAAAGTTTAAAATCACTTAAAAAATTTTAAGTGTCACTGAATATTGATTTTAAAAAATCAATTATAATTAAATTTATTTGTTGAAAATTACTCATTTTATCATCACTCTCAAACACGCCTTTCACACAATGATCTAGCCAAGATAATAGAGTTTAGTTGTTTGAATTTACAAAGTTATTTTTATGAAGAATTTCTATATATATATATATTTACTGCACGATATATATAATCATTTGTACTTAAAAAATGACATGAATAGATGAGATTTATCATTTCTAAAAACATACATCAAGTAAACTAATTCTAAAACAAATCCTATAATACAAAGATAAATGTACAAGAAAAAAGAATACACAAATATCATCTCTAGTCTCTCGAGAGAAATTTTGCCTTCAAATTAAATTAAAGTTTTTCTCGCAATTTCACATCTAGAGCTATACAATGCCAAACTCTCTTTTGAATAAAGAGAACTTGCCTTTAAAAACAAAAAAGATCTCCTCAATTACCCAAAAAATGTAGGGTTTCATTGCAATTTCACATCCAGCGACGCAATTTCATGCATCAAAACACTTTATTTATGCAGGAAAAATACCTACAAGGAAAAAAATAAAGGCATTAAATAATGTAAAACCATCAACATTTAAGAGAAGAAGACTTAAACAATTATTAATCATCGAGTAATTAGCACCAATTGCTTTCACTTTATTTAAGGTTCCATGGGTGTATATATATTTTTTTAATTTCGCCAAAAAAAAATAAATTTAATTGATGGGATATCTTAAACAAATTTTTTAATCAACTCTCTGTTAAATACTTAAATCTCAAGAACTTAAGTGAGCTCTTAATCCACATAAATTATATCCAAGTAGTTGGATTGCCTAGAAAAGACTGAGTCCTGAAATATTTATAAAGAAACCGTAAAGAAAATCAAGCAATCCATTAAGTCGAAGAATGCAAAATATCTTTGACATCTTCCAAAGATTAGATGGAAAGCTCGACATAATTCATAGGCCATCATCATAGGCCAATCAAAAGGGAAACTTAATTTCCTAATTAGAAAAAAAAAAAACATAAACTCCTAAAAGAAAATTTTAAAAAAATCTAACATGCAACTAAACTTTCGAACAAAAACAAACATGTGAGAGAAAAAGTGCCAGAAAAATGATAAATTTACTTAAAGAACAAATAAATGTAAGTAATTAATAAGAATGATTAAAATACTATTTTGGTTTTTATAATTTTAATTTCGATTCATTTTAGTCTATATATTTGAAAAGGTTTATTTTGATTATTGTACTTTTAATTTTGATTCATTTTAATTCTTATATTTTGAAAATATTCATTTTGGTTCCGGCACACTTTTAAAAAGTGATTATTTTAGTCAATGTTTACAAATTTTTAACACAAATTTTACACATGATGGATAAAACAATGTTTACATTTTAAGAAATATATTGATGGAATGTCGTGTTGAAATTGTGATAGAAAAATGAGATTAAAAATAAAATCACGCGCCAAAACTATCACTTTTTAAACTACATGTATGAAAATGACCATTTTAAAATTACAGCTCAGAATAGACCAAAATTGAAATTACTATATATTTTAACCAAAAAGAATTCACCAGGCATAAACAAAAGAAGAAAGAGATACGTGGTAAAACAAAAAAGGGAGTGAAAATTGACTTACTAGTTACTATCTCACGCTCTGGCCTCCTTTAAAATTCAGCTTTAGAACCTCGTCTTTGAGAAAATCATAGCGGCTACGATGATAATCAATCAGCACACAAAGTTGCCTTATCGCTTCTTTCTTCTCCTCTTTCAGACTCAGCATCCCTTCATTCTTCTCTTCCATCATCTTCTCTAATTCTCTCTGTCTCTTTTCGAGTTGGGCGATTGCTTGAACCAATCCATCCTTCTCTGATCCTTCTTTGTTGGCCTTAGTCTCCAACTTCTCAACCTGTTTCATTAATCTTGATTCTTTCTCTTTCTTATCTTGAAGTTGTTCCACAAGGTTTGCCACCTCCTTTTTTAGGCGCTCTGTTTCTTGAATGCCCTTTGAGACCCAACTCTTCACAAACTGAAGATCGTGGGATGTCTCAATTACACACTTCTCATACTTTGCATAGTCCAATTCGAATTTCTTGATGACACATTCCAGTTGGGAGAGGTTACTGTTAATGGTTTCGGAAACAGTGGATATCGTCTTTTGGTGTGCTTCCCTGTTAGCAACAATTGTTGCAGATAATCCATAAATTTTTTCTTCAAGCATTCTCTGTTCTTCTATGTATTTCAGTTCAGCTTTCCGAAATATCTCTTCTTTTTCAGCTAATAACTGTTCTGTAACACGAAGCTTTTGGTTTGATAACCGAAGCTTGACCTCGATCGTGCGAACATTTTCTACCAGATTGTTTAACTCATCACTTTTTACTTCTAGATCTCTTTTTAGATCCTCAGCCTCTAGCTCCAGGTCGTCTTTCACTTGTTCATTTGATTTGATGTTTTTATGGAACTCTTGGGCCATTTCTGCCATCTTCATTTCTGCATTATCTAGCTTTAGCTTACATTCTTGAAACTGCTCTTCTACTACTTTATACTCGTCTTCTAGCTTCTTGTACGCATCCTCGTGTTCCTTCAAGTTTCTCTGATGATCAGCAATCGAACTCGTTAACTCAACTCGCTCCTCTTCCAGTTGTGTCAGGGTATCCAAGAGTTCTTGTTTCTCCCTTTCAACCCGCAACTCAATTTCGCTCTTTTCATTCTGCAAAGAATTCAACTTCTCTTGCAGATTTTCAACCTGAACCACTAAGTTTAGTTTTTGGGTCGAGGCTTCAGCCTCTCCATTTCTGTGTTTCTCATGGAGGGTGGAAAGCTCAACTTCTTTCTCTGTCAAGGTACTCTCTAATTCAAAAAATCTCTTCTCCAGCTCAAACTTTTCCTTCCTGAATTGACTATTATCATCCATCTGACTTTTTAGTTTCTCCTCAAGTTCGTGTTTTTCATTGCATAAGGAGTCAAATGCTAATTCAAGATCGTTAATTCGCACTATTAAATCTTCTTTCTCTTTCAATAGTCTCTGTTGATCTGAAATCTTATTTGCTATCTCCTCATCAAACTTTTGTATCTGTATTGTATATTCTGAAATCATTTGAGTTTTCCCCTCAAGTTGCAATTCCAATTCAGCTTTTTGGCTCTGTTGGAGTTCCAACTGTTGCTGCAACGTATTCACCTGATCTGTTAAGCCCTTGACTTGCTCTGAAGCTTCTTCATTCCTGCATATCATCCGTTCTTGTAGTTCATCATTTTGAGCATGTAAAGAATTCACCTCTTCTAACAGGCGGTTGATCTCCAGAGTCAAATTTGCTATGCTACATGAGGATTGATTCTCACTGTCTTCAAGCTTCTTTCTGAGAATAGAAAGTTCATTTTCTCTCTCCCTAAATAATACTTCAATCTCTGAAACTTGGGCCTGTAGTCCAATATTTTTCTCTCCTAATTGTTTTGCTTCAGCTTCTTTCATCTCCAATTTTTGAAGCAAATCTTTTTCACTTGTTTGCAACAACTCCAATTCTGTTTCCAACCGTGTAACTTGTGCTTCTAGCATATTTACGCGAGTTGATGATTCATTCACATGCACCTCATGCTTCTCAACTAGATTAGAACGTTCTCTTTCCATCTCACCCAAATCCTCCTTCAACGACTGCAATTGAGACACAAGTTCTTGGTTCGTCTTCTGAGTCGATTGAATCTCACTCGTGGTCTCCACAATTTTCAAGTTCAATAATCTGTTTTCTTCCTTGGAAGCTTCTAGAGCATGCGTTAAGCTTGCTGCCTGCTGTTCTGCAGACTGAATTTGCTGCTTCAAGTCAGAAATTTCTCCTCGAACTGTTTCTAATTCTTGGCAAGTGGTCATCTTTTCTTCTTTGAGCTGATTATGAATCTCTTTCAATTCTTTTATAGTTTTTTCTCCCTCTTCAATCCTCCTCCAAGCAGTCTCTCTTTCTTTCATCAAGTTGTCTTTCTCAATTTCCGCAACATTCAATCTTTCACCAAGTTCTGTTTCAAACTTAGCAGCAGAGTTCAGTCTCTGATTCAATCCTTCAACTTCAAGCAAGAACTTAGACTTTTCCACTCCCCAAGTTTCTGCTTCAACCTTCAAATCTTCTATGATTTTATTTGCTTCTTGAAGCTTACTCAAGGCCATCACATGTTCTGAGTTGAGAGCTTTCTTTTCTTCTATTATAGATTCTAACTGGTTATTTAGCTGATTAACCATGACATTTAATTCTTCTTTAACTTTTTGAAGCTCTTCGGTCTCCTTCCATGCAATCTCTTTTTCCTTGATCAAACCATCTTTGTCAATTTCAATATCTTTCAATCTTCCATTAAGTTTTGCTTCTATATTAACAGCATTGCTCAGCCTTTGACTCATTTCTTCGATCTTGAGCAGCAGATCAGCTTTTTCTACACCCCAAATTTCAGCTTGTATCTTCATATCTCCTACGATCTTATCTGCTTCACTTATCTTGCTTAAAGTAGTCGCATGATCCAAGTTCAGAGCTTCCTTTTCTTCAATCGTAGCTGCCAACTCCCTCTTCACCTGATCGATCACGATATTTAATTCTTCTATAACTTTTTCTCCCTCTTTAATCGCGCTGTGTGCATTTTCCTTTTCCTTGATCAAGTTATCATTTTTCACTCCCAAATCTTTCAATCTGTCGTTCAATTGTTCTTCTAATTTTCCAGCAATACCCAACTTCTGATGCAGCCCTTCAATCTTAAGCAGAAATTTAGATTTTTCAACACCCCAGGTTTCCGCTTCAACCTTCATATCTCTTGTGATCTTATCTGCCTCTTGTACCCTACTTACAGTTGTCAAATGTTGTAAGTTCAGAGCTTCCTTTTCTTCAATTGCAGCTGTCAATTGCCTCTTCAGTTGGTCAACCATACCATCTAGTTCTCCTTTAATTTTTTCTCCCTCTCTAATCGTCCTTAATGCAATCTCTTTCTCCTCTATCAACTTGCCCTTTTCCATTTCCAAGTCTTTCAATTTCCTATTCACATCTGCTTCAAAATTATCAGCAACACTCAACTTCTGATTCTGCTGATCAATCTTAAAAAGAAAGTCAGATTTTTCAACGCCCCAAGTTTCTGCTTCAGCCTTCATAGCTGCTATGATTTTCTCTGCTTCATCTACCTTGCTTAAAGCTGTTATATGGTCTAAGTTCAGAGCTTCCTTTTCTTCAAGATTAGTTGTTAGCTGCTTCTTTAGCTTGTCAGTGATGCTATTCATTTCTTCTCTATTTTTCTCTCCGTCCTCAATCAATTTATCTCTCTCCTTTTCCATTTCATTCAATCTTCCACTCAGCTCCATTTCTAATTTCCCAGCAGCAACCAACTTCTGATTCAAAAGTTCGATCTCATGGAGAAGATTAGATTTTTCAACACCCAAGATTTCTGTTTCAGCCTTCATATCTGCTATGATCTTATCTGCTTCATTTATTTTGCTTAAAGCTGTCCCATGGTCTAAATTCAGAGCTTCCTTGTCTTCAATTGTAGCTGTCAACTGTCTCTTCAACGAGTCAGTTGTGGCATTTAATTCTTCTACAATTTTATCTCCCTCGTCAATTTTCCTCCATGCAGTCTCCTTCTCGTTGATCAAGGTTTCCTTCTCCATTTCGATATCTTTCAGTCTTCCATTCAATTCAGATTGAATCTCACCAGCAGTACTCAACTTCCGACTCAGCTCTTCAATCTCGAGCAAAAATTTAGATTTTTCAAGACCCCAGGTTTCAGCTTCAATCCTCAAGGCTCCTGTTACCTTTTCTACTTCTTGTATATTGTTTAAAGCTTCCAAGTGTTTTAAGTTTAGAGTCTCCTTTTCTTCCATTGTGGCTGACAACTTCTCCTTAAACTGATCACTCAAAGCCTTTAATTCCTCTACAAGTTTCTCCTCCTCTTCAATCTTCCTCCTTGCAGTCTCCTTTTCTTCAATGAAACTAGTCATCTCTGTTTCCATACCTTTTAACCTCCCGTTCAACTCAGCTTCAATCTTACCAGCATTTTTCAACGTCAGATTCAGTTCTTCAATTTCGTGCAGAAATTTTGACTTTTGAGCATCCCAAGTCTCAGCTCCAACCTTCAAATCACTAATAATCCCATCTGCCTCTTTTATCTGACTTAAAGCTGTCAGGTGTTCTGAATTTAGAGACTCGTGTTCTTTAATAGTAGTTGCCAATTTTCTTTTCAAGTCCGCTACTTCTAGAAGTGCTGCTTCAAGTTCCTGCTTGATACCAACAACTGCTTGGACTTCGCTCTCCAACTGTCGTTCATTTTTACTGTTCTTTTCCTTTGAAGAATCGTCTGAATCATCTGAATCTGAGTCTGATGAGCTACTAGATGAAGAGCTTTCCTTTTCTTTTCTTGTTTGGAAATTTCTTCTCAATTCTCCAGTCAGATGGTCATATTGGGTATAGAGTTCCTGGTAATCTTTATGGAAATCCTCAATTAATTCAGCAATGATTTCTTTTTTGAGAATTTCTGATTGATCGTGGTCTCCAACACCAATATCTTCATCTTTTATGAGTTTTATAATTTTATTCACTTTATCCTCGACATCTGCATAAAAAATGTAAAATTGTTAATGTTCGAACTATAAAGATCATTAACCATATAAATCAAAGGAAAGATACCCTCTGCATTAATACATGGAAAAATTAGAAAATTAAAGCAGTTCTTAAACACGAAAAAATTACCTGATTTACTTCCTTTCAGCCGTTCTTCTGTTTCTGGATCAAGGTGACTCCCAAATAGAGACTTTATAGAATTCCTGAACCGATGTTTTGTCATCTCCTGGGAATATCAATTTCCCCTAGCAAGGGCACATTAGGACATGGACGTTCAGGAGGAGTCCATGACTGAAAAACAAAATTCAAGTTACTCATGTATTTATCTTTATACCATTAAAGAACATTTAGGGATAAAATTGATGTACGCATATGCCACGCAGGTAAATCCTTATAGATGTCTCTGAACAGAGGAGGTGGAAAGATACCACTTTTCTGGACTGTAATTGACATAGAATTCAAAGACATTATCATGAAATAATCTCTTATCGACATTTTCTAAAGATCCAGATTGGTCGAGGCTTTTTTTTTTTTTTTGGTTCAACGTTAGATAGAATAGACCTATACAATGATTTTTACGGCCAAGCTATATCCATGGTTCTTTAGACAAAGCCCATCTGTTTCAGTTTCAAAAAATAAGATGGTATCCAAATAGGTTTATAAATTTTTAATTTTTGTGTCCAACAAATCTATAGCCTAAGCCTATTATATATCTTTTTAATTAATAAATGTAAAATTGAATTTTGTGTAAATTTAAAAAAAATATATCCAAATTTCAAAGTTGAGGAACTTATTAAACACAACACGGAAAAAAGTTGAGGAATTTATTAGACACTTTTCAAATAAAATTTTTAAGAAAATTAAAAAGTTCAATAAATTATTGGACAATTTAGACTACAAAGAAACCGGAAGTCCAAATAATTTCAACACGTTACATTTGTAATTGCCACAAACTTAAAAGGTTAAATACTTATCACACACAACCCTAAAAGTTTAGAGACTAAATTTATAATTTAAATTTTATTTTTATTTTTTCAAAATATAATAATGTAAGGTTGAATTTTTAACCCTAGACCTAAAGAAAAGATTATCAAATATTTCTTTTAGTTCAACAATAGATAAGTTAGGGTTCCACCCTTTTAACATTTTCATCAATCATATATACTTGAACTAATTAAACTATACTCAAACAAAATTTTATCAATACTTTATTGCTGGGTTATATTTGGGTTATATTCAACTTATTGAGAGACTTTCCAGTTGACAGTTCAACAATATATTCAAGCATACCTACAAATGGCATTGTTCATCCAAGTCTGTATCGATTAGAATACGGATGAAAATAGGAAAGTAACATAATGCACATTTCAATTTTCTTAATGGAGACTCTAATGGCTAATGTAATCGAACTGCGCACAATAGCGTAAGCTGCTTACGCCAATTTCTAAAAGGCGCCTAATTTCTGCAATTACAAAACTGACCTCAGGGCATAGATTTTAGAAAAGACAGCTATCATATTGGAAAAGATGAGCTGTTTCTTTTTGTTGGTTCTGCCACAAAACGACTACATCATTATCACCAATTTGAAATCTATATACCAATTAAAGTTTTTTTTTAATCGACGAAGTAAGGAAAAAAATAAATTAATTATAAAAAAGAGAGATAGGGGCAGAAAAATGAATTAGTTTCCAATAAAGACAAAATTTGCGATCGTCTTCTTAGTTGTTACTCACCTGGAAATTCACTTTACTTTCCTCCGTCTTCCTCGTCGAGCTTCAACCAACACTGATATCTGGATCCGGAACCTAGACTGCGAGAAACAAGAATCAATAACAGAGGAAAACAAGCACAAACTCCAATCAATTGTAGCAACTTGCAACCAAAATAGGAGTTCATTCTCAATGATCGGGATATACATCGAAATAGATCATAAAAATTCTCGCACAATCAGATTCACTTGGAAATAGGGGCAGCAATAGCTTCAACACGATTAAAACAATTTAAACTCACAGAAGATCCAATCAAATTAATCAACCAAACATTCAAAAGCAAGAATCGTCCAAAACTATTTCGAGCTCGACATATCATTTATTTTGATCCAAACACGACGATCTGATGCGTAAAGAGACGAAACAGCAGCAAATTACACGTTCAATTGAACTCCAGCATCAAGTTAGCGGCCAAATTTTGAAAGAAATCAGAAGATAAGACTCCGGTAGAATATGAACAATCGAATTCAAAGAAGATTAGAAAAATTACCTTAGAATCAGAGCAAGAAGGTAGATAAAAGAAACCAAAACCAGCAAGAGGAAGCGAGACAGGAAGAGACAGAGAGATGATAGAGAGGGAGATTAACGGAAAATGGGAACTGAATTGAAAATGTAATGGAAGAGAAAATGGTTATGTTTGGATTAAAGCGCCCAGCATTTGCAGCTTCAAAATTTTCAGGGGATGGAATCTTTGGAGCTTACCGAATATATTTACCCTTTATAGTATGAAATAATCACGGAGTTGCCACTGAGATTTTAATCTTCGCTGTGTTTGCGAGCCGTTTATCTCGGGGCCAATTTCAACTTTTCGTCGTCCACCTAACTAGACAAACGTTTTTCCCAATCGTGAGACATTGACGAAAATACGCGAAAAATCGTTTGAACTGTAGTTTAGTTTTGGTCTTTCCCGCTCTTTTTCTTTTAATTACGGGAATCAGTTGAACTCAAATTCACAACAAATTTTGGTACTAATTTTAATATTATCAAAATTATACTTGATTCTTTTAATTTTATCTTCTTACCGGCTGAAATGGTAAAAACTTGTGAAATCAACCAAATTAAGTTCGAACAATCTATAATGTAATTTGTGATTGGAGTTTTTAAAACATAAATCTCCATAAATATTTAGTTGTTGGAATTCTTGTTCAATTTCGGTTGATGCAAGTTTCAAAACGAAAAATATAAAAGGAAAGAGAAAAAGGAGGTGGAGATCAACATATTAATAAATAAAATTGTTTATAGAGTCCTTCCAGTTTAAAGAAGAAATATGTCTAACATCGCTAAGCAAAAGCAGCATAAATCACAAAGTCGAATTGATGAAACTCAACCATATGAACGAATTTAGAACACCCAACTGTTTCAAAATTTTCTCCAAAAATAAAATAATAATAAAAAAATTTCATGAAACTCGGGTGACTAATGTAGTTGTAGGTTGCCATCATTTTGTTTGTTTTTTTTTTTTTCAATTTTAACTTGCGTTCTCATTTTTATTATGGTTTTTAAAAATAAAATTTCAATATTCTAACCATGTCTTTGTGAATAATATTCATGAAAATGAAATGGTGATGGATTGTTCGTAGGGAAAATGTTCATTCCATCTCCTCTTCTGTTTCCTTTGGCTGCTTTGCTAATATCGATTTTTTGTTACTAGCTATTTTAATAACCAATAAAATGCTTTTTTTTTCTTACATGACCAATGAAGTGTTTATGAGTCCGTTTCTTTTTAAAGAAAATTTGTAATTGGTAGCTAAAATATTTGTCATATTTGTAAATATAGCAACAATTTGTAGATTATATAAAGATGGTAAATATTTGAAATTTGATCAGTTTTTTAGTTATATCATTGTTTCGTTAGGAATATTAAGTATATCTTATGCGTGGATTGAACCTCGAGATTTTGTTATTTTTGTAAAATTGAGCAGGGTTACTACTTGCTACTTTTGCAATTCTTATTATTTTTATTTTTTTGCTACCTTTTCCATTGCACTACTTTTTTAAAGTGAGGTTGCAAAAATGGTAAAATTTGAAGGTCCAACTCATGCATAGTATTGAAAAAGTCCAATTGCCCTCAAATAATACTAAACCAATACAGTTATAATTAATGTATTTCGTATAAAGATAAATCAGTTATAATTGATATACCTAATATGTAGTACATCAAGGTATATCAATTTTTTTTTATCGCAAGCCATATACTTTGTATGAAGTATATCACTAGTATTATATGTTTTATCACTGATATACTTCGTATTGAAATACATCAAGGCATATCAAATCTACATTATTGATATACTTCATATATAATATATCAATTATATAACTAATATACATTATACGAAGTATATCAGCAATATACTTCAAACTGCTATAATTTTATGTACCATATACTAGTTGTATCAGTCACAGCTAAATTCATCCTAGTATGAACAACATATATATATATATATATATATCAACTAATAGTATATCAAGAATTGAAATACCTTACGAGAAGGGTAAAATTAGAATAAACAAAACAAGAAAAAAAAATAAGATTTCAAATATTTTGTCAATTTTCAAAATTTAAAATTAGTTGTTGCTATATTCACGAATATAGCAAACCATTATAAATCTTCATTTTTTAATCCAATAACCTACAGTAGGATGCTTCAAAAATATTAATTTTTGAACTTTATTATGATTTATGAAATGTAGTTTTCTTCTACATTTTCTTGATCGAAATTACAAATTTATTTGGTGGTTTTTTTTTCAAACTCATTTTTGTTTTTTCCCCCTTATTTTTTGTTTTTATTTCCAGTTTCCCCCTACATATGTGTTTAATTTGAAAACAAAAAGGTGTGGGATGTCTAAAGAAAGAGAATAAATGGTATAATCATTAAATATGATTGAAGGCTCCTTTTGACTCGTAGTGAACCATTACTTTGACTCCACTCATCCATGCTATTCTTGCCAAGATCCTCTAATTCCATACAAAATGAATTATGTTGTTATTTTCTTATATCTTTTAAAATAAAAAGTTAAAAATAAATTTGATCAATGTAGATTAGTTGGAGTAACGGTTAGTCAAACTTTTAAAAGTAATTATTTAATCTATATACTCTTAAATTGATATAATTTAATCCTAATTGAAATTTAGCATGTAATAATTTTGTGCTTGATCGAGTTTAAAGTTTGTAATGATTTAGTCTTTATTGTGATTTTTTTTTTGTTAAATTTTTATATATATAAATCGATAAACCGATGAAAGATCAAATTAATTATAAATTACAAAAATTGAATCGTTATATGATGAAAATTGACGCTTAATTTTGATAAGAATTTTCATAATATGGATTAAATTGTTACAAATTTTTAACTATAAGTACTAAATTGTTGTCAATATGAAAGTATACGGCCTAAATTATTACAATTAAAAATTCAAGGATGAACCATTACTTTTTATAAAGAACGTTGTTTTATCTACTTTGATGTGAGTGTATCATTATATATTATTAGGTAAAAATCATTGACAAATTTCTTTGTTAGTTGTACTAATATTTTGGATATTTTTCACCTTATTGTTTTTTACCAATTGATTGTGTGTTAGTTGTTCTTATTTTTTTTTAATCAAAGTTGTTCTTAATTTGCTGAATTTATTGTTAAAGACGGTATAACTCAACTCTAATTGGCATATACCTCCACCTCCCACTTCTAATCAAGATGTTGTGAGTTTGAATCTATTTGATAGGATTGTTTCATAACAATGTGATAATTATTTTATTTTTAAAAATCATATTTATCAACGGAAAAAAAACTATATGTTTGTGTGACGTAGTTTTAAATGTTTTTAAAATACCTACCAATTTCTTTTGAGATTAAATACCAACCAAATTTAAAAGATTTAAAAAACAGTTTCATATATAATTAAAAAATGTTAAAGATTTTAAATGTGCTTTTAAAAAAAAATAATATTAAAATAAATAACAAAATTTTCATTAGTTTTATTTATTAGAAGGAAATTATGAACCAAAAAATATGATCTTATTTTTAATTTTGATAAATATCACTGCATAAAATAAATTAAATATGTATTTGAAAAAATGTCACAGCTTTTTTATTCTTTTTCAAATATAACAAAGTGTGAGTAAAGGCTCAACAAAAAATTCGGGAGAACAACTCTCTTTTTTTTTTTTCATGTCAATTTGACATTACAGGTGAGGAACTACTATTTATAAATTAATAATTTAATTGAAAAAAATATATATTTTACGAGGATCCTACGTATCACTTTACTATATATACAACAGTTAGGTCATTTCGGAGCAAGCGAGTTTCAAGAGAATGATTCAATATTCTTGCAGAGTGGAACCGTGTAGTACTATGATAAATTATGATTTTTAAGAATCGATCAATTTGGTTAGGTCGTTCATTGATTTGTAAAAATAAAGTTCAGCCTCATCCCTTTTTTTAGTCACTCTAATTTTAAATTTCCTCCAGCGCCATCCATCCATCTTTTGTCACCGTCTCCGCCAATTCTAGCCACCAATTGCCTGAGCCATGAGGTAATTGTTTTATGAAAATTTTGGTATTATGCGTTGTGGATAAGATATAGATAATTATAAATATTAGAAAAATCTACGAATTTTGCAATTTGGAACAAACCTAATCCAACCTAAAAATATAAGGGTTAGACTTGCCACTTGATTCAGTTCCCTTGGACAAGAGAAGTGACCGACCCGAATTTTAAAAACCTCTAACCAACCCCACCCAACCCAATTTGGGTACACCAAGTGTGACTATTTTTTAATTGTGTTTTATATTACATTTGAATTTGAGTTTGATTTGAATTATGGTGTTTTTGTAAAATTTCAATTTTTTTACGTTTCAAATTAAATATTTATTTTGTACTATTTAGGTAAATATACCTCTATATTTTTATAGAGATCAGTAAATCATTATAGATGGACCTAAATTGTTTTATATAGCTTTTGAATTCTAAAAATACTCTTAAAAATTAGATAATAAAATTAAAAAAGAAAAACTAAACAAATATAATAAAACAAGCTCGTTTTGAAGAATTGTCTCTTAAATCTTGAATGAAATTAAAAAAAAAGTTCCTAAAAAGTATATTTGAAAAACAGTATACAAGTTTATTCTAAAAATATAATAATAATAACAAAAATACAAAATACTATTGAAAGACCTAAATTATTAATATGTCAGCTAACTGATGTAATTTTTTCAAAAAAAAAAAAAAGGACTAACTGATGTAATGTATCATTTAATTTATGTAATTCTTTAACTTAAAAAATATTTGTGCGTCGTCTTGTTTGGCATGTGATTTCTTTTCATCTTGATATTTAAAAAAACCCAGTTTATTGGAAGATAAATTTTTTATGGAATATATGTTCTAAGATCGTACATGTCTCAATTATTCATCATTGATTTGTTGCTGAAATTTAAAGAAAAAGGTACATGACTCCAATTTAATCGTATAATGTAAAATTTGAATTCAAAATCGAAATTTTCTATTGAAAATTTATCAAAAGACAAAAAGAATATTTGCTTTACTTTTACATCTCTCAAAATTTTCCGAGAAAATGAAGAAAGAAAAAGTTAGGTTATGAATTATGATTATAACAAAAATCAAATCATTCTTCTGTTCCTGTTCTTCCCGAGCATGACGTCCTTGAGATGATCATAGCGGCTGCGATGGTGATCAATCACGACGCAGAGCTGCCGAATCACTTCTCTCTTTTCTTCTGCAAGTCTGAAGACTTCTTCGTCTTTCTCCTTCAGGATGTTCTCCATTTTCGCCATCTTCTTCTCGAATTGCCCTAGGGTTCTTATCAGGTTCAATTTCTCTCCTCCTTCTTTGCTTATTTTCGCTTCTAGATTCCATAATTTCTCCCTCAGCAAGAACTCCTGTTCTTCTTTTTCTTCCATTTGTGCAACGAATCGAGTTAAATTCGTTTTCAGTTGTTTTAACTCATTGTTTCTCGTTCTAACCCAGTATTTCGCGAACGTCATCTCCTTTGTGATCCATAATATGTGATTTAGAAGCTTCGCACTCTCTTCTTCGAATTTTCTTGCCATTCTGTCCATTCCGAATTCGTTCATGTTGCTGATTTTCATCAGTTCCGCTTCGTGATTTCCAATTTTCTGTTCTAGTTGTCTCTTCTCTTGCTCGTACCTCTTGTTTCTGGCTCTGTAATTTTCTCTGCTTTCGTTGTGTAGTTGCTCTGCCACCAGTATCCTCTGCGACAACAGACGGATTTTGTCTTCCAGGCCGCTGCGGAGCTCTTCTGCTAATTCTTCCATCTTCCTCTCTGCGCCTATCAGGCTTGGAGCGGCGTCCGGTAAGCAGCTTCTCCCTTGCTTGTATTTCTCGTTGAATGAAGTGATGATTTCGTCCTTTTCTTTCAGAGTTCTTTCCTGATCTACGATTTTGCTTTTCAATTGGTTCTTTTCTGCCTCTAATTCGGAGAAGCGGTGGGAGAATTCTTGTTTGTTTCGCTCCATTTCGTGCCCTAACTGGCTTTTATCAGCCTGCAATGAATCCATTTTCTGATTCAGATTCTTTACTTGCTCCATCAAGGCGATCATCTGAGACGAAGCTTCCGTCTCCTTACTCGTCAATGCCATTTCCAGTTCGGAATTTTTGGTGTTCAGCCACTGATTTTCGGACCTCATCCGAATGTTCTGTTCTTCTATTTCCCTTCTTCGGAAATGCAGAGTGTCTACTTCCATTTCCAGGTCCCTAATCCGAACAAGAACTCTCTCTTTCTCTTCCAGAATCCTCTGTTCAACTTCAATCTTTTCCGCCAATTCTTCTGTCAAATTTCTTATTACAATCATATTCTCAGATATCTCATGGTTTTTTCTATTTTCTAATTCACGTTTCTGGTTGCGTAAGCAGTCTAGTTCCCGGTGCAGAGTATCAACCTTAGCCAATGCTTCATTCTTCAGTACAATTTGTTTTTCCAGTTCATTAGTTTGAATCTGAACATGCAAGTTGCTGGACTGATCATTCTGTAAATGATGGCTACTGCTGTTAATTTCCTCCGATGAATAGTATTCCAAATCGGAGTCGGAGATGGAGCTTGAAGATGAAGAAGAGACATCTTCCTTGTCCTTTTCCTTTCTGGATTTAGCGATTCTCTCTTTATCATCTCGAAGATGACCATATTGTTCATAAATTGACTGGTAATTTTTGTATAGATCTTCAACGAGACCAACAACTTCCGTCTCCTTCTTCGAGTCCCTTGGCATCCCTCCTCTTTTCCCTTGGTCTTTGTTCTTCACTAGCTTCAAGATTCTCGTCATCTTTTGTTCCATTTCTGAAAATGGAGCAAATTTTTTCTTTTCTTTTTGAAAGAAAATGGAACAAATCTATGCATTGAAGAACTACACCAAATGAAACCCACAGGCCACAACTGATAATTCGAGTCACAAAATCTAGCTATTTTTAGATTTTTTTTTTTTTTGTTGCTTCAATCTCCCTACTTCTACTTTGTAAAAAAGACAACTAATAATTTAAAACTATTTATAAATTTGTGATTATAAAAGAATGTTCAATTTCATTTTATTATTATAAATCAATTTTAAAATCTAAACAAGTCATTTAAAATAGTGCTGTAGAAACTTACCCGCTCTACTCATCTTCTGCTGTTCGGCAATTTCATCTGTTTCTAAATCAATCCCGTTGGACTCTGTTAATCCTCTTCTCAAGCGATTTTTCACCATCCCTTAAAAAACACAACCTAATATTCAATAACAATTAGCATATTGGTTTATCAATTTCATCCTTTTTTCTCAATATATTGTCAAAAGAAACTAAATTCATCATAACTAAAAGAGAATAAGTTAAATTATAAGATTAGTCTACGAATTTTTATGTAATCTAACAAGTCCTTCAACTTTGAAGAATGAATTCATCTTCACAATAAAAACTCGTTATAATGAGTTATTTGATGCATTGTTTTTCATTGTCCTCTTAACTTACTGCTAGAGCCGGCCTGTCCATCTTCCTCACCACACACAAAAAGATTTCTTTTTTCTGTTTTTTAAATCAAGAGACCCATGTCATATATTTTATTAATTAATACTACTTTTTCTAGATATAGTGTGTTCCCTTAGCCTCCTAACAACAACACACACACAAAATTCAAATTTTCTCTTTCCTAATAAGCATAATTCAATAACCTACCTAAAACATACCAAACCACTTTCCACACCCATGCATAACATGGGTCCACAACAAAAAAATAAGCATTAAATATGATACTAAAGTTTTTTATTCTTTGATATAGAAACAAGATTCATTAAAAGGGGAAAACAAGGTTAAATGGCAAATCATAAACGATACAAGCAGAGACATCACATAAATTTGGGCAATTCACGAACCAAAAATGCACTTTTTTTTTTGGGTCAAATCAAGTTTTTTAGAGTTCGAATTAGAAATTTGAGTCACATGGTGCAACTTTTCAAATCTATTCCTAATAAGTTCGTTTGTTAATCTTAACATTTTTTTAGCTTAATAATTGTGTAGATGACAGATAATTAATGTACCATTCAAATGTATTTTTAATAAGGGATTTTCATTCATATTAGTTATTACATTGTGAATGAATTGAAACGAGATTGAAAGATGAATAACATGGAAATTAAAATTACAAAAGGAGAAAACGGTTAATTTCAAGTTTCGACAAGCAATCACGCTAAACCGATCATAAAAGCCAGTCACCATCGTAGGCATAAAATAAAAATGGAAAACTGAGATAGATCCTGTTTGGCTGCCAAGAAAATAGAAGCAGAAAACAGAAACAAAAAAAAAATCCCGGAAAATGAATTAAGATTTTCCTATACGATTCTTTCCAATGGGAAATCTCATGAATTTCAATTCAATCCTTGGATTCATCAATCCTCAGAGGGGGCCATTAGAGCATCAGAAAAGGAAAATTTTGCAGGAAATTATTTTTACATTCACAAAGAAGAAAAAGAGACTCATTCGGTTTAAAAAAGAGTAAAAAAAAAAGGCAAAAAAATAAATTTACCTGGAATTTGATTCTGGCTCCTCACGTCGAGGATCTGTCAAGGAAAAAGTGAAAGTAGAAATGGAAAAAGGGGGGAAGAAAAAAAAAAAGAAAACAGAAGAAAACGTATAATGGAATTTAAATAGGGACGGAAAACGAAATCGAAAACGAAGATTTTTTAATTTTTAATTTTGTAATTAATTATTAATTATATTTTAATTCTCTCTCCCTCTTGTTCTCTGTCTTTACGGAGAGATGGAAAGTTTGGCGCTTCTTTCGCTCATTTGCCCTCGGATTTCCGCAAAATTACGAAGAAAACCAACGACTCTGATGTTGGGTATTTTCTCGGGAAAAAACCGCCATGCGGTATTTTGTTGGCGATATTTTGAAGTGTGCGTAAATATGGGAATATAATCATGGCCACGTTGTTTTGGATTTATACTCAGAATTTGCTTTTTGTGCTGTTTGACGCAATTTCTGCGGCGTATATTTTTAAAATTATATATATATTGCCTATAATATTTAATCGGATGAGTCAATTTTGATTTTTCTTTTTTAATTTTGAAGTTCTGATTTTATGAGATTGAAATTAATATCGTTTATTATTTGACTTTTCTTCTTTCATTAAAGAAAATTAGTTAGACTTAAATTTGTGGCTATTATTAATACGATTTATGGGTATTTGAATATTGGTTCTTTTTGGTTGAGTTTGGAGTTATTTTTTCTACTTTTTAGCAGCTTGATTTTGTGACAATTAATTAGGGTATTTTTGTGATTGGGTTCGACATTTTTATCACTCAATTTTAAATAGTTTATTAGTTTAATTTGGTGTGATTTATTAGTTTATAGTTTGGTTATAAAAAGTATATTTAATAATCATTTATTCAAATATATGGTCCAATAGATCAAATTAAAAGTTTTAGTTAAAGTGATTGTTAAGCTATACATATGAATAAATGATAAAATTTTCCTTTAATTTTTTTTTTCCAACTATACATTTCTATAAATTATAAATATTTTTATACTCTTCATCTAATCTTTATGCCATTTTCTACAAAAGTCAACCTTTGATTTTTTTTTTCTCTCTTACATTATATTGAGTTCTTTCCATTAGATCCAATTTTAATGAAGTGATGCAAGAGGTTGACCTCACATACTTATTTGTAATATTTTAGAAATAAAAAAAAAACATATCACATTTAAAATGAATAATGAGTTAGATATGTGGGCTAATAAAATAGAAAAATTCTCCAACTTCATATACTAGACTTGCCATAACTTTATAAATTTTAAAATTTTATATATTAAATATTTAGGCGTCATGTTTGATAATAATTTTGATTTTAGTTTTCTATTTTTAAAAATTGTGCTTGTTTTCTCACTGTTTATTCAGTATGTTTTTTACCTTCTCAAAATATATTTAAATGTTTAGCTAATTTTAAGAAAACTTTCTGAAAACTAATTTTTTATTTTCAAAATTTAGCTTAAATTTTAAAAAGTTGACAATAGGGGTATAAGACAAATATATATATATATATAGACGATATTCAAAACTTAATTTTAAAAAATAAAAAATAAAAATAAAAATATTATAAATAGATTTTGAATTTCATTCCAAAGATAATACACTTTTTTTTACGTGGTGCATTATTTTTGGCYACTATATACTGAACAAATAAAGTTGTGAAAGACAAAACTCTCTGAATATGCAGAGTGTAGACTGATTTTTTTTTAGATATCAAATTATGTACTAAAAAAACAAAACTATCGAATTATTGATACCCACTTTTCTTTCTTTCTTTTCTTTTTTTAATATACTCTGGACTTTTGGAAAAAAAAAAAAAAAAACTCTAAAACATTATTTACATCAATGATGTAAACGAGAAAGAAAAAATTACTAACTTAAATGAAACCAAGTTCATTTTGAGCTAAAATTTCCACCCAAATAGGGATATTGGGCCCCACTCTTTCATCGCTCTCTTTGCTAAACCATGCTCTACACTGTTTGCCTATGTGATTCATCGAGATTACTCTGCTGTCCCTTCCGATTTTGCGAGCTTCTTCCACAATCCATGTGATTTCAGTAAGATCTTGTCTTTCTCCATTTAACAATCTAATTGCTTCGAGAGAATCAGATTCGAGGTAAACGGGATAACAATTTCCATCTCGAATAGCTTGCATGCCCTCACAAATAGCCAACATTTCCAGGTAAGTAACGTCTCTTTCTTCTCTAATTGCCTTACACCCTGCTTTGATAATCTCCCCTCTCTCATTTCTTATTACCCAGCCCAAACCGCCAATGCCCAAATCTGCTCGCCAAGCCGCATCAGTAGTCAACTTCACAGAATTGGAAATTGGGGGGTTCCAGTGCGTGGCCGAATTGTTTCCTTGAAGTCTCGGTAGGTTCTCATTTCCTCCTAAAGATGATTCTGCTTGATTTGTATTGTGGCCTGAGATTTGTTCAATATACTTGTCAATTGCTATTTGAATACTTCTGCTATCCTCATGATCTGCTTCACCTGCCTTTATAAATAGCCACTCCCAGTAATCTTTAGTAGTCCAGCATGTTCTGTCAACACAAACAAAATTTACTTCAGTAGAAATATAATTTGCCCAAATTTCTTTTGATACCTTACAATCCCACAAGATGTGTTGTGTAATTTCCTCCTTTTTCCTGCAAAAAGAACAAACAAGATCAGTTTTAATTTGTTTCTTTAATAAATTTACTTTGGTGGGCAGTATATCGTTGTAGCTTTTCCAGCAACAAATTTTGATGTTTGGCCACACATTAGTCTTCCAGAAAATTTTCCACCAAAGCTTTTGCTTCTCTAAAGAAGAAAAAGAACAATCCTGTGCTTGTTCCAAATTTATGGCCAAGTGATAGGCACTTTTAACAGTAAACAGACCCTTTTTGTCTTGATTCCAAATTATTTCATCCTCTTTACATTGACGTTGTAGTGGAGTTTGAAGAATTGTTTCTGCTTCCTCCTCCCCAAAGTGTTGCCGAATCAGATCCTCGTTCCATATTCCTGTTCCTCTCATAAGACAAGCCACCGAGTTGTGCTTCATTCCACCATGGACATAAACAGGGGTACAATTTCTTTCTCGTGGGATCCAAGGGTCACTTCCTATTGTTACTGCTGAACCATTTCCTATTCTCCATCTACACGCCTTTACAAACAACTCCTTTCCCCACATTATACTGCGCCAAACATAAGATGGATTTTTTCCTACTTGAGCTCTCATAAAATTGTCATGTCGGAAATATTTTCCCCTCAAAATTCTTGCAAGAAGGCTTGTTGGGTGTTTAACCTCCAACTTTGCTTTGCTAACCTAGCCCGGTTAAAATTGCTAAAATCTTTAAACCCCATACCTCCTTTTTCTTTGCTAATACAGAGTCTCTTCTAACTTCTCCAATGAATTTTCTTTCCTTTGTTCGAGGTGCCCCACCAAAATTTAGCATATAATGAGTTAATTTCGTTGCACAAACTTAAAGGTAACTTGAAATAATTCATAGAATAGTTAGGAATAGCTTGTGCAACTGCCTTAATCAATATTTCTTTACCTCCTAAAGAGAATAATTTATCCTTCCAACATTGTAGAACCTTCCAAACTCTCTCTTTTATGGAATTAAAAACCTGACAACGACTTCGAGAGATATGAGAAGGTAAGCCTAGATATTGACCCATCGAATAAGTGTAAGTAATACGAAGCTCATTTTTAATAAGATCAATCACCTCGTGCCTTGTATTCTTACTTACCATAAACATGGATTTCTCAAAATTGATAACCTGACCAGATGCCTTTTCATAAGTTTGTAGGATATTTTTGACTACTTGACAATCTTGGTTGTCATCTGCAAAAAAACAAATGGGTTATGGAGGGGCAATAATTATTAATACGCAAACCTGAAAAGTTTCGAAGTTGTTCCTCCTTTGTTAGAAGGGCAGATAGGCCTTCCGCACACATGAGAAAAAGATAAGGAGATAACGGATAGCCTTGCTGCAGACCTCTTTTAGGATTGAAAACCTGTCAAGGAAAACCATTAAGGAGAACAGAAAAACTAACCGTCTCAACACAACCCATAATTAAAGAAATCCACCGAGTACAAAATCTCATCTTCTTCATGATCCCCCTCAAATAACCCCATTCCGCTCGGTCATAGGCTTTGCTCATATCGAGCTTTAAAGCCACCACCCCTTCCTTCCCTGTTCTTCCGTTATTTAGAGTATGGATACACTCAAAGCCTATCATAACATTGTCCGTTATTAACCTACCTGGCACAAAAGCATATTGATTAGGAGAAATAAGTTTGTCCAAGACACATTTCAATCCATTTGCCAATACTTTTGCTACGATTTTGTACATCATATTACACAAACTGATCGGCCTAAGATCTTTCATGTTTGAAGGGTTATGCTTTTTGGGAATTAAAACAATAAAAGTCCTATTAAGAATCCCCAACTCAGAATTACCATTGAGATAATTTAAGCAAAGATTATTTGTATCGGTTCGAACAATATCCCAGTATGTTTGATAGAACAATGCTTGAAAACCATCTGGCCCTAGAGCCTTAGAGGGATGCATACTCTTAAGTGCCGTCTCAACTCCTTGCCGCTCAAAAGGTCTCACTAAAATCTCATTCTCAGAGTCAAAAATCTTGATAGGAATTGAGCTGAATATTCTTTCTAGATCTGCACCAGAAGTGTGGCCTTCTTGAAAAGGTTCCTTAAAGTAATTTGTTGCTTTTTCCCCATATCTGAGCCATTATCTGTCCAAACCCCATTTTGATTCTCTAGTCCTTTAATCCGGTTAGTCTTTCTTCTTTGATTAGCCTTTATATGGAACCATTTTGTGTTTCTATCCCCCTAATTGATCCAATCTTCTCTTGATCTCTGTCTCCTATACATTTCATCTTCTTCAAGAAGATCTTCAAGATCCTTTTCAGCACAAAGCATAACATTCCTCCAATTACCTCCTCTGTTGATCATAACATTTTGAATCTCCTGTTCTTTCCTAGCAATTGCCCATTTAATAGACCCTCCTAATCTTTCAGCATTCCACTTTTTAAGGTCTCTTAAACACTTTACCAACTTCATGTTGAAAGAAACAGCATTGGAATCCTCCATAGTCTGCCAATTACTTCGAATCAACTCTTTACAGCCCTCAAACTTAGTCCATCCCTCTTCAAAACGAATTGGTTTCCACTGTCTTCCCTGTGCTGTAACATTATTCCACCAATCCCACATAGCAAGGATGGGTCTATGATCCGAAGCTAAAAATTCCAAATGGCGAACTACAAGAGAGGAGCAGATAGACTCCAACTCTATATTCAGTAGAAAACGATCCAAACGTTCCCAAATAAATTCTCCTCGAAGTCTTTTAAACCAAGTAAATTTATCTCCATCAAATAAACCACAGTGATCAATTCCTTTTCTGAGTCCACAATAATCTCATTAAAATCCCCTCCCAACATCCAGGGCATATCAGAGATACTAGCATAGTTTACGGATTAAAACATATCTTTTCAACCAAGAAACGAACCGATCGAATTTCCGAATTTCTAACTTCACAAATTGAATTAAAAATAAAATAAAATAATAAAATGAATAAACTAGAATGTTTGAGAGATCAGCTTTTTAAAAGAAAATATTACTAAAATTTTAACTATTTTTAAACTATTATAAACTTCAAATTTGTTTTTAAAATAATGAATTTTAAAAATAATGCGTTTTTAATATTCTATCCCGTGGCATGTGTGTCTCTGGACAGAAATATTAAAAACTAATTATTTTAAAAATAAAACGGGATTTAGAATATTTTAAAAAATAGTTGTAATGATTAAGATTCTTTTTGGCTTCAGTTAAAATTACACGTGGCTTTCTTTCATGGTTTTATTAGCCAACTCCCACGAAGAATTTGTGATTTTTTTTCTGTGAATATAATATAATGAACTTGATAGTTATATATATTTAATTGATATAATATTCATGATGGATTGGTTTTTCATATTTTTGTCCTAATAAGTTATTGATAATAATGTATATAATTTGTACTGTTATGACGTGTATATCTCAATAATTAAGAAGACTCCACCAATAAATAATTATTCTACACAAAAGACACACATTTTGCAATAAATGGAGTTTAATTTTTATTTACAAAATTGATCAAAATTGGAGTAAAAACTAAAAACTAATTGATCATGGTGGGACCCCGTCTTCCATCATGAATTCTTAGTTCTTTTCAATAATCACTCGTCTTTCACATCAATATATACACTAATTTATTTAGAATCAAAACTAGTAGCCTTCTAAAAAAACCCACTTAAGCATAATTATAATTAACGTTTTAACAAATAATACTTACCATATAAAGACTTACAAATTCAGTCATAAATATATAGCTCGAACAAGTAAGACTCATCATTCTATATACCCATGTCATTACAACCAAAAGTACGTTTTCAAGATGGTCAATCGAATTCGTGTAACTGCATACATAGTCTATTCATGTATTTATAGGTGTTGACGCACGAAATCTTCTCAATGCTAATTAATTACAACTGTGAGATTCTAGGCACGAGTATGCGGTAGGACGTTTATTGACCAAGTATAATAATTCTCCAACATCTCAAATGAAGTCCAATGCAAATTAAAGGAACCACCGCTTTCCATCAAGTCTAAGCAAGGATCGTCGAAGCCGCTCAAATTGAAATGTCGGAGTTGCATGGCAAACAGAGCTTTGACATCGCTTACTAAATGATTGCGATTACCTCGAAAATTGTGGCATGTTGTTGGAAAAGCGCAGTTAAAGGCAGCGACTCGATGTGCTTTGGTTTTCGACTCGTCCTCTACAAAGTTCAAACAATAGAATCTTTATTGATCGGCTCGACTTTTACAAAGTTGGCCAACAATTTATATCTGCTGAGCCAATAAAGGGCGCGCTTGTAAATGGGCCGATGGGCTTTTGTAGACTCTCCGGCCCGGCGGTTTGGCATGGAAGGCTCGTTTTTGCACGGCTTCATGCAACTCTTATTTCCCGGGACATCGGCTTCTTCATAAACCCAAACCCCCTTTCAAATTGCGCGTTCGGAAGTGTGAGCTTCTAAGTTCTCCATTTTTGTTGAGATTCTCTGTCCATTTCGCTCATGATCTTGATCCTCGCCATTAGAGCTCCTCTTCCTGTTCTTAGAGAAAATCGAACGATTTTCCCTCCTTTGCGATCGCCGGCGACTGAGAGAGACAACTGCTCGTCGCCGTTAGTGCCGGCGAGGAGATCGAAAACTCTGCGTTCTGAGGTTAGTTTGTTCTTCTTTTGGTTTGCATTGAATGTGTCTTTCAGGTCCTTATTTGTGTTATTTTAGAAGCAATACAATAGAGGGATGAGAGCGGGGAGGAAGAAAGTAGAATGCCTTCGATTTTTCTAACTTTTCTGCCCTTGGTTGTCAGATCATTGCTATTGTCTCTATGTTGAGAACCGTGGAGTTGATTTTTGTGTAGTCTGCTGTAGTAAGGCCCTTCTCTGGGAGAACCTAAGTTTAAGATTCCGTACCAGTGCCATTTCTGCGAATTTGAAATGGCAACAGAGCCGCATTCCGTGGCTGCTGCTTTGAGTTGTATCGATGAAGATGACCTGGAAACTCGGAGCATTTCGGAATTGGTTTCGTTTCTGCGGACGGCCTTCCGGAATATTGATTTCGATAAAGTGGAGGAGGTTTTGGTGGCCAAAGAAGTGAAATTGAAGAAAGAGATTGAGAATAAGAACAAAGAGTGTGAATTGATCCAAACAAAATACGAGTTTCTGAGACTGGACAATCTAACTCAAGAATGCACACTCCAGCAGCAGGTTAAGGTTGACTCTAAAGAATTCGATAAGTGGAAGGAAACATATGAGGAATTGAAGGAGAGAGAGAGTGAGATTATAAACCTCAAGCAATTGGTCTTTAAAGTAAACCAGAATAGGGAGGAAACGAAAAGTGCTTTGGAGCAATCTGAGAAATTGCTTGAAGTTGTCCAGAAGACTCGGGAAGATGATAAGAAGATAATAGAGGAGCTCAAATGCGAGAATTCAGAATTAGAATCTTCCAAGAGAGCAATTGAGGTTGCCTACGAGCAGTGTCAAAAGAAATACGAGGAACTAGTACGTCGGGTCTCACAATTGGAGGACAGCTATGCAAAGCTAAACAATGGGGAGCCTGTTGCACCGAACAGAAACGACACCAAATCAGGAGCTTGCTCTGATGGTTCCAAAAAATTTGTTAGGAAGAAGGGGGCTGAAAGTGACAAAATTGAGAATCGAACAGGTAAGCAAGGAAGGAAAGTTTGCCATTTTCGAATTAAGTAAATGTCATTGATTGTTAAAAGTGTAGACTTACACAGTTCCATGAACAGTTCACCTAGGTAGGTGTTGCCCACTCCACTGGTTAGAAAGTTACAAGTTTGGGAAATGCTGGCATTGGAAGTTTATTTAGTATTTACACCTGCTAGGGAGATCTGTAATATGCATTAATATATATGCTGTCTTGGAATGAAGAGTTTTGGAAAAGTTGTTCTTGTTATCAGCTTAATCTTCTTCTTTCGTTTATTGAATAAAATATTGCTTGGAGTTAAATCCATTGGTTATATGAATGCATATTGAATAAAATATTTCTTGTTATCACCTAGTTTTAGTGCATGAATATATGAATACCAGATGCATATTTATGCAAGTCCCTTTTTCTCCTTGTGTAATTTTATGATGTTCTTGTGCATTATTAGCAATTTTCCAGACGAGATTAGTGAAGGCAAGCTAAAGTACAAACATCTTAAATTTTACACACGTGGCCTTGAGGAATGTATATATATACACATAGAAAAAACTTGGGCATATCCAAGTATGACTGGAATAATTTATTGACGTGATCAAGGTATTTGTCCATTCTAGGTACTGGAGGATGCATTGTTGAGATCATCAGTGATGATGAGAATGCTTCAGTGGAAAATTTATTTAGACCACGTGGAAATCCAAAGAGAAAGCTAGGTTCATTTTTGGATGATTGTGAAGTTTATAGTGCTGAAAGGGATGATGAAGAGATCATCATTCTGCCTGGTGGAAGCAAGGGTAAGAAAGTAGGGGCATCGTCGACAACACCTCACCATTGTCACCCAGCCAAACACGTCCTGAAAAAGCTTTTGTCTTCTGGTACTAATGACTCCAAGAAAGTCGTGACCTCTCCAAGGTCTGCTCCAGTCATGTTGAGGCAATGCACAGAGAAAGTAGGGGCAGAATGTAAATTACACAATTCCAAGTTAAAGCATGCTACATATTGCAGGGACTATTCTAGTGAGGATTGGTCCATCTCCTCGGATTCTGATGGCGATACACAAAATGGATATGGCTCGAGTCATCTTAACTCAAAAGATCAAGGGAAGATATGTAACAAACAATGGGAGTTGCAGGCTGAAATGCTTGCTGCATTTAATGAAAGTGATGTGCTCTGTATGGAGGCTGTTTGTATCCTCTACAGACAAAAAAACTTGACAGCAAAGCCTCATGGTGCAGATTTGCCTTCCAGACACAGAGGATTTAATGAGGCTGATATGCTCAGGTATCTAAGCAACTGTTTCACTGATGCATATTTATTATTTCTTTGTTTGATTTCTTTGATTCTAAGTTTAGAACCTGTTGGGAGATTGACTTATCTAACATCTGAATGAACTGGTGGCCATCACATGATGTGGCTTGGATTGGAACAGAATCATAGATCTGTCTCTATGTAGATGTACATGGAAAATATTACGTGGGTAGCTTACAGATCTCTTAGAATTACCTTAGGGGATTACATGATTGTTTGTATTACCACTGTCTTTGGTTCCTCTTCTTGGTGTGTGAGATTCTATGGATACTCAGAATAGAGAACTTTTACTCTTAAATTGTCCGTTCAGAATGAATCAAAAAGTTTTGAAAATAAAAAGGAAGTTTCCATAAAAGATATTTCACCTGTTGGTTTTAACATCCTTATTATTTTTGCCAACGTACTTCCCGTAGCGAAGAATTTGATGTTTCAAGTCTTTTGGCACAAGCACTGAAGCTCAGTTTTGAGTTCCTTTTTTCTCTTCCCTGTGTTTTGACCTATTTAGGATTATACCTTGGTTGAGTGACAAACTTTCTGCTCCTTTCTAGTGTTATGTAACTGTCCTTTGTGGTAATTGTTTGTGCGTGGAAGCTTTGTAACTTTGAGTTATGTTCTTGTATAGCTGTCTGAGGAACTATTGCGGTTTAAAATTTCTGTTCAAGTTTTCTCCAGGGGTACCACATTGGCGTTGTTTCTTACCAGTGGAGATCCACAAGGGAGATTAAAGAAATCTACAATAGAATTGAAACGGTTCGACGTCAGTGGTCTTGCTGATTGTCGAAGAATAGCTATTGAACACTCAAAGCAACTATTTGAGATATTACAGAACGATGAAGATCGGTTCCTATTCCATGAAAAAGAGGTTAATTGCAGTTTTCTTTAGATGAGAGGTCAGATTTGATGCCGAAATTTGTTGGTTGTTGGTTTCAATGTTTTCCTCACAGATGTAAGAACTTTTTCCGATCACTTTACTGTAAATAATAACATGTCTTAGGGTGCACGCTGACCACAAATATGCTGTCCATAGTGCAATATGTATAAATATCACTAGAGAACAAAGAATGATAGAACTCCAATTATGATTTCGATATCGAATCATATCATTAGGTTATTAACATTAAGGTCAATACATCTGAATCAGTTTGTTAGAACTTAGAACTGTTCCTTTGAAATTCCCTTGGAATTGTGGGGGCAACTTTGTTTCAAAATTACTGCTGATAGGAGAGAGGGCTAACTTTTGAATGGTAGAATAGCTTCAGTTTGATTTGAATTGAATGGAGAAATGGTCAAAATCATCTCTACAACCAATTTTCACTTTTATTCTTAGTTTTGGACRGTCCGTAGTRCGTTCTTCTATTAAAAGTGCCTCCTCCATAAAATTTCTAGTACTATAGAAGTATGGATATTTCTCTCCTCTATTGTTTGTTATCTTAACATACTTTTAAGAATGATGTGTGCTTCATTGACATTAAAAAATTATTTATGAAGATAGAATTATAGTATAAACAAATAGAGTAGGTACGAGAAATTTCTCATGCCTCCTATTTTCTCCTTTTTCCTCATTTTTCATCCAATTTTATGTCCTAAAATTGTTTTTCGGGTCCCCTGGGAAGGGTGTTTGTTAATTTTCTATTAAATGAAAAAAATGTTAAAAGATGGTCTGAAATAAATCTTTTGAAAAGAACTATAGCATAGAGATGAAACATATAATTTCATATAATACCTTGATTTTTTGTATCATTGTGAAGATTGATAATTTTATTCTTTACCATTTTTTAGAAAAAGAAAAAAAAAATGAAAAAGAACAGGTGAGTACGAAGATTTGAATAGAAGAGAGGGATTATTTGAATTCTTTATTCTTTTATTAGTTTGGTTTGTGAAGTTTAAAATCTGTGTAATTTGTATTTTTTTAGTACGTGTACTTTTTGTTTGAATTTTGCAAAAGAATGAGTTCTAAAAATTTGAATTCTGGTGTCGTATTTAATTTGTTTTATAAATTTGAGTTTTCGTGACTTAGAGAGATTAGTAATTCCATAAACACAAACTTCTTATTTTAATTCAAGAGGATTTTGTCATAATCTTTATGGGTTTTTCTCTTTTTTTTTCTGGTAATATAGCAAGCATTAGTAATTGTTTAAATTATTTATCAAGTTTTGTTGCAGTAAGTGACAAATTGAATGATTCCAAATTAGGTGAAAGAAAAATAAATCGATATTGGATTTCCCAAAATCTTATACATCCAATTTTAAATGATTTGTTTTCCTAGAAAAAGAAAATAAAATTCAAACATATTCCCTGATAAAAAAAAAAAAAAAAAAGCCCAATGATGGACTGTCAAAGACGGCATGGGCGGCATGTGCAGAAGCAACAGTGGGCAGGAAACATGCTGGTGGGCCCCACGTTCGGATAACGGCCATAATCCTTCCCGACCTTTCCCGTTTACTATGGTAATCTGTTCGTTTTTTTAGTGTGAAAATAAAGATTTGAATTCACTTCCCTTCTCGACCTTTTCCGTCTACCGCTTTTCTCTCTCTCCCACTCTCATTTCACCTCCGTTAAATTAAATTGCTATTTTAACATCGTAGAGTGGGGTTTTAAAAATTTCAATTTTTGATAAAATATATTTTTTGTCCCTAAAATTTGAAACAAGTGTCTATTTGATCATTAAACATCATAATTTGGCCAAATGCACTAATTTAATAATATTTTGATAGTAATTGGACTTATCTCTCTCCTTCCCTCCCCTGCTTATCTTGACAAACAAAAATAGAGCAGTGGATTCAGTAGTTCGGGCTGTAACAAGAATTCTGTGTTATTATGTTAATAAAAAAATAGCTCATGGATGTTAACAAATTGCTCTACTTCAGAAACAAGTCTTCATGAGTTCAAGGACTCGAGAACGAAAGAAAAGATGGGGGACTCAATCGTCTTCCAAAAGTAGATGTCTCTATGCTGAAGAGACAATTATCTCACTTGCATATATACATAATGTTACCACGTCCACTATCTCTCTCTTCATTTGGGGAAGAGGAGAGGAAGGAGAGAACTTCAACGCATCCATCGTCCCTTTGCTCATCTCGAGAGGAGGAGAGTAAAGAGAGATAAATTAAAACTTTAAACTTCTGTTAAATTACAAGTTTAGTATTAAACCTTTGAGATAGAATAATACATAGATCTCTAAATTTTCACAGATGTGTTTATTAATACGTGAGTGTCTAATAAATACATGGTTATCTAATAAATTTTTAAACTTTCTTTTAACTCCTAMTTTTTTTTTAAATTTTCAAAATTCACAATTCTATTAGAAACAAAATTTAGAATTAGAATAACATCAAATTGAAAATTTATGTACCTCAGACACATTTTAAAATTAAAAAACATATTGACACAACTTCTAAATTTATAATTTCTTTAAAATTTTGATCTTATATTGAAAAATTGAAAAGAAGAAAAGGGGTAGGACCAAAATAGTAATTTAATAGAAAAATGAAAAAAAAAAAACTTAGGTTTATAAAACGGTAGAGCTTGGGAGATCTGTGTTCCTCCTCATCCGCCATTGCAAGACTGCCTCTGTTTCCGTTCTGAGTACCGTCTCGTTTCCTGCATTTTACCCTTCGAGAAGGGAAAAGCGAAAGGAAGATTCCTTTCTCTCTCTCTGCGAGGCTCTTTGCAGCCATTGCAGAAGCCCGTGAAAGCTTCTTGATCCGAGAAGCGTCGCAGAGAGAGATCCATCCTACATTCTTACTTCCCTACCGCATTTCTTGGGATTCTTCCCCTGAAGCAACGAGAGAGTGGAAACGATTACTTCTCGATTCGGAATTCGGAGTCCAATGGCGGTTTCTAGGGCTTCTTTTGGATTTGTGGCTGCCGCCGCCCTCATCTTCGCCATCTTCTTGCCGGTCGCCCACCCTCACTCCTTGCCTCCCGCACCCGCTCCCTCCAGCGACGGTTAGTTCTCTTCTTCCATTCGATTTCCTCCTGTTCTGTTTTACATTTCCGTTCCAGATCTGTGAAATCGGTTTGATCTCTCTGCCTCCGAATGCTCCACTTTTGCTGGATTTGGAAGAATGTTTGGCGTTCTGTTGAGTTTCAGTTTCTTCGTTTGCTAAAATTGTGAAAGAATAATTCCGATTTACGTTTCTCGATTAACCTACCGAGCTTAAATCTTGATTTATTTCAAAAGAAGTTTCGTGTGTTTGTTCAAGCTTTCGGTGGATCTACTTTCGTAGAACTTGGAAGTACTCCAGAAATTATAGAAGCTATTTTTCTTGTAATAATTAAAATGGCAAACCAATTTGAGCTTTGTTTTAAAAAGGAAAAAAATGGCATTATTATATAATTGTATTTACTATTTGTGTAGCCTGCCACTACTTTATAATAAAGAAATGCGCGTTCTTCTAAAATTTATCAAGAAATTTAGCCACATGGCCAAAAGTTCCTTTGATCATCAGCAATTCTTTTTGTTTATACATATATATGCTTTATAAACTAAACAGTCTCCCTTAAATATAAATTTGAGAAAATTAAGCTAAGAATTGAGATGTTGAAAATGGGATTTGACAAATGGCAGGGACATCCATAGATCAAGGAATAGCATATGTGTTGATGTTGGTGGCATTGGCACTCACATATCTCATCCACAATGCAGACTTATCCAACAGCTTCTAGAAGATTTGTAGAAGAGATTTGAGGGAATTAGCATATTGATTGATTGTACTTTGGTAGTAGTTTGTGTGGGTGTTTCTCTTATTTATTATTGCATTGCTATTTTGTACAGTCTCCTCATTTTGTATAACACTTATTTGGCTATTGTTTTTTTGGTGGCACCCTTTTGTTTCCCCTCTCTCTCCCTCTCTCATTCTCATTTAAATTTTATAGGGAAAGAAAGTAAAATAGTTGCAAATTTCTTCAACTTCAATGAAATCTTTCGATTTGTAGGGACGGGGATTAAACTCCAGACTTCTAGAAAATGTGGGTACACATTTCAAAGCTCAAACATACTTATATCATGATTTACCAATTTTACTGTAACCAATATACTTTCAATTATATTTTTTGAGAGATTTTCGTTTAATCAATGTCTACTTTATTAATTATTTCTTTTATTTTTAAACAAATTTATAGTTTTATGAAATATATTTTCTTAATTTTTCATTTTGAAAATCAAACTTTTCGAAGAACGTTAAACAATTCCCTAATAATTTAGCTTTCATTTAAATTTTAATCATCTGTATATTCTTTATCATTTTTTCTCAATTTCATTACTTTTAAAATTCATATAAAATATTTAATATTTAAAATTCAACAAAATATATTCCTTCAAATTTGGAATTCCATTAAAAAAAAAAACTGTGTTCCAAAAATTGTAATATACGTGTGTTGCTGGCTAGTATATATAAATGTTAACTAATTGGGTCCGAGGGAGATCGTCCTACTATTAACACCTCTCCCTTTTTAAGGTACACCTCTTACTTTCAAGTCTGATCGTAATTTTTCTAATAATAAGTGGGGTGGGGATTTAAATTTTTGACCTCTTAGTCAGAGATAGATATACATATTTTTGAATCACACCTATCACAAACTACTTTCTTTTTTATTATTTTATAATATTCTATGTTATAAACGAAGACGGATAATCTATTTTGAGAAAATGCGGAAATGTGTAATAAAACTATGTTCAAGCCCACCATTTGAAAGATGAACAAAATAGGATATCACATCATACATTAAATGAAAAAAAAATATTTTTTTTGTCAAAACGAATACAGTTCAATGATAATTGATATATATCTCAAAAGAGATTGTGTGATGTACTTAAAAAAAAAAAGTACACACCAATCATGCCACACAAAATTTCTACTATATAGAATTTTAATAACAAAGACTAAAATAGACATTTTTATGAAATTCAAGGACTAAAATAGAACTTCTGAAAACTATAAGCACTAAAATATAATAAATATAAACCTTAGGTTAAACACTAAGAGTTTGATATCTAGAACTTTTAGAGTTGTGTTTATTAAGTTTGTATACTCTAAAAAACTTACAATTATAAGTCTCTCCAACTTATAAGATTATATCTATTTAGTCTCTGTGTCTAAGATTAACTTTTAATTTTATGTTTAATAAGTCTATCACTACCATTAATTTCGCTTCTGTAACATAATTCTTAAATAATATGTCAACATGTTAACATAAAAGATAAGGTGATCAACCACATAAACCTAATTGAGAGTCCAAAGACCTATTAAAATAATTTGTATATTATATTTGAATTTTTCAAACTTTTTTTTTAGTATTTTAAATTATAAAAAGGTAAAATAAAAGAGATCTTTACTACCGACCAAATATGATGGGAAAGGATGTAAATGGTTATCAAAACAGAAAGAGAGAGTATTTCAAAATATGGTTAATTTAATATTGAGATCCACTGAATTCATACTTAAAATAGGGGAAGTTTGAGATTTTCAAAACAAAAAATAGCCACAAAGCAATACCTTCCACACCCCAAATTTAGGATCAAGCCAATCCACTTGCCTATTTCTCTTCTTTTTCTTCCCTTTGGCATTGGAGGAGAGGAACAACACCAATTTGCATACCATTTCTCTCCCTCTCTTTTTCTCTCTCTTCAGCTCCAAAGAGAGAGTGGCCAAAGGGAAAAACCGACCTTCCAAAAACAAAACAAAACAAAACAAAAAATATGGACAAAATGCATCTTACTTTGATGGTTGCCACCCTGAGCTGCCTAGTTTTGATGGAATCCGTGAATGCATTCACTCATATTGTCGGTGGGAACCACGGTTGGAGGGTGCCCGACAACAAAACCTTTTTTCAAGATTGGGCTAAACCCAGAACCTTTGGTGTCGGAGACAAACTTGGTACGTGTATACCTATCTGTTTGTCTTAAGCTTTTAATTCGAGTGGTAGTTTACAAGAGATCTTGCATTTGTTGGTTTGTTCATCACTAACCGTGTTTTTGTTGGTTTTCTTTGTGCAAGTTTTCCCGTACCGACCCGGCGCCAACAACTTAATGGCAGTGAAGAAGCCAGATTTCGACAAGTGCGAGCAAGATGACCCGATCAACATGTACTTCCAAGGCCCAACCATCTTGGAGCTCACCAAGCCTGGCGACTACTACTACTACGATGGCATTGGGAAGCACTGTGAAGCTGGCATGAAGCTCCACATTGTAGTTGGCACCAAAGAGGGAAGCTCTGGTGAGAATATGCCTTTCAAGCTTGACACTTTTGTCATTCGTACCTCCTCTCTCACTACCACCTCCGCCGCCACCGCCCCGGCCGCTGCCGCCTCTGGCCCCTCTGCCACCGTCTTCGCTGCTTCCTCTGGCCCCTCCGCCACCGTCTCCGCTGCCTCCACTGGCCCCTCGGCCTCTGCCTCCGCCACCGCCGCGGCTCCGAAGGCCTCCGCTGCCACTGCCACTCACAAGCTTGGCTTCGGAGTAATGTTGGTGGCCATGGCTTTGTCGATGTTCCTGCTCGTTTGATGAAATATGCTGCTGCCTTTGAATGTATTTAAAAGCTTCAACAATTTCGTTTTTGTGGTTTGAATTATTCTTTTCTCTTTTTGGTTTAAATAATGTTATATTCTTTTAAAGAAAGTTCATTTGGAAAGATGAGGTAGTTTGGAGACTTTATTTCGAAAGATATATGACAAGTTCTCAACATCTTCTGGTTTAATTTGGTTTCCTGATCTCAAAATGCCTTGTTTTTTAAATGATTTTTTTCTTTTTTGGAAATATAAATTTTGATTCCCATTTTAGATGCTGTATTTTGTATTTGTTGAGCTTTTAATATTTTTTACATTTTTACATTTAGTTTTATCGTTAAAAACACCATACAAATTGAAACTTCAAGAAAATCGTCACCAACTATACATTTGTAATAGTGTTGTATTATTTTAAAAAGTTATATGAATTAAGGCTGCCAAAATATGTGAGTTCGAATTTCAAATGATATATTAAAATTGAGTTTCAATAAATTTTTAGAAAAATATTAAATGGGCCGGTCAAAATTTCCAGATGAAAACCCATAGCTATGACAGTAGGCCCAAAACTACACACTGGGCTCAATAAAAGAGGAAAAGCTCTTATATGGTGTTAGTGTTTAAACAAAATTTTGAGAGTTTGTGTTTTTTAGTTGAAGACGTGGAATGAGGATTCGGATCTCTGAGGTTGATGATAAATATCAATAAAGTTTTTTTATCGGTGATATCGATGTCTTTTTAATATCTTTATCCATTATTTTGAATATATGATTAATCATATATATGTTCTTAAGGAGAAGTCGTAGTAAAGCATACGTAATTGTTGTAAAAAAAAAAGAATAATAATACAATTGAATAATGATAAATAAAGTTAAAAGTAGTAAGATTTTGTTACATATTTTTTCTCCTCAAATTACAATATTCATTTCAAATATATTGGGTAGAAAACAGACTTTTTATTTTATTTTATATATATAGTGAATAAAAAAGGGGCAAAAATGACAGGAAAAAGAAAAGTGGTGGAAGGAGAAAAGTAAGCAGGCATACAGTATAAAAGTCCCAAAACAAAATGAATGAATTCCACTCATTTAATTTAAAGTGGCATTTTATATATTAAGAATATTATCATTTCTTTCCTTTTTTTTTTTTTTTCCATTTTCGTTTTGGGCAAAATATAATTATATATTAAGAATATCTCACATATACCTTTCTGTCCCTCATTTTATCATTTGGTTGCTGAAATTGACTTCTCTATTTCCCCACCCCCACCTTCCCTTTTCCCTTTTCCTTCTTTCATTCTTCCTCAATCTTTKAGATGATTTTAATATTTTAAACATAAATTTATGGTTAAATTATTATAAATTCAATCCACCACTAAAATTTATTGAAGGGACRTATTCTTTCACACTTATTTGCAATATTACGGGCAACCTTTATTGCCAATCCAAACATAACTCAACTGGTTAAGACAATTATGTACAGATATAATTTATATCTATTTAGGAGGTTGTTGAAAAGTCAAGTTTATATAATTAGTATATGAGTTTGTTTATCGGGTAATTGAGTGCACAAGTTCAACCCATTAATAAATTACTTGAAAATATTAAACTTTAAGACATAAGTAGAGGAGGTATGAAATTTGTATTTAGATTGTAAATTTAGAAAATCGACAGGTAGGAGTAGGCTTGAGGCAGTACCGTCAAAACTTATTAGCGTGTTCAATAAACTCTATACTTACAAATTCACCGGGCAAACACGAGTTCATTATCTCAAGTCAAACCCACCTAAATTCTCACCCCATACACTTCAATGAGATATTGATTTTTTAATTCTTGTAAATAGAAAAGTTTGAATTACATTGATTTTCTCGACTATATGTAACTACACAAGCTCATATTTGAAACTCTAAACGACGCAAATCTCAACTTTTCAAACTCAAAGAGGCAAATATCTCTAATGAGATAGAAAATAGTCCATTCCTTAATTATTATTGAAAACCCTCATGTGCTATATATATAATAGTATCAAAGATTGATGATACAACATTTTATTTGGTAATTTTAATTTGCATTAAGGGTACCACTGCTCCGATGTGTCTCTTCAACATTGCTAAGGGCGGTGGCAATCATTGGGCCACCGGCCCGTGATTGGGAGGTGGGCCATCTGCTGACGTGGACATTAATTTCACACCTATCCAACAAAAATTAAAATGAAGGTCCACATCAGCAAGACCCGTAGTTTGATTCGGTGGGACAGCCAATCACGATCAGAGGATCTGCCACGTTTGGTTGGGCGGGGGAATAAAAGCAGCAAGAACTGGGCCTGAGGAACAAAGGCCCAGTTGGCAATCCGATTCCACGGTGAAAACGAACCAGGTGATCGAGATGAATAGTTGTCTGATGCTTACGTGTATGGCCAGGATTGAGTCTGGCTGGGGACAGGAGGATAAGGGAGGAGATTGTCTGCGGGTGTTGTAGTGTGGAATCTAAACCACAAACCCTTGGCCGGTTTTGGGCAACAAGATTTTCTTTTATTTTCTTTTACTTTTTTTTAAATAATGAAAATAAAATTATGTTTTTCCAACCATTTGAGAAGGAGATTAAAWAATTTTAGATACTCGGATTCCAGGCAATCATGCTTGTAGCTACTTAGCTTCGTACACCTTTTAACGGTTCAACTAAACTGACGTTTCATTTTTTAACTTAGAGAATGCATTCTTTCATTCTCATTTAAACGATAAATCAAACAATTAAAAACTTCTCCACATAATTTTACAAAACATTAATCCAACATCTTAGATAAATTCAAGATCTCTAACTCATTATTCGAGTATTATAYAAGTTTTCCACCTTTGGATTACACAAATTCAAATTTATGCAAGCTTCACTAATCTCACAGAACAATCTRTCTGGCTCCACTAATCTCACAAAACGATTTGCTTGGCTCCGCGATCCATTTCATGGGGACAAATATGACATGACAAAACCTGAACCAATSGTGCATGTTTTCTCTACTTTTTTGGTTTAGTGTTTCAAGAGAGGCGCAGTCTTAATGGGGATAGTGAGAGTCAGATCTCATGGTATTCAAAATCAGGCTTAATAAGGCAATGACCAAACAAGCCAAAAATGGTCATAAATTTAGGGGGAGAGAGAAAGGAAAAGGAAAAAGGCTAGTTTTAGAGAGAGAGAGAGATAGGTGAAAAAAAACAGCAGCAGAAGAGAATTTGGGGCGATGTGTGTTTTAAAGGCAGAGAGAATTGATTGGGAGTTTGCAGTTTGCAGAGTGGCAGCCTACAATCTCTATGCCGCCCAATGCCCATCTCATTCCTTCACGTCCTCTCTCTCTGCCTATTTTCTACCTTTTTCAAATCATTGACTTTCAAAATTTATATTTTTTCTTTACTTCTTTTTCAAAAGACATTAATTTATTGTATTCAAATCACCTCGTGAAACATATCTCTATGTTTTGGAAATAGTTAGGCTTTGTTGGATAAATATTTCGTTTCTTTTATGCTTGTTTGCTTTCAATTTTTATTAGAAACACGCTGTGAAGAACTCCAAAAACAAAACTAAGTTTTTTAAAACTACTTTTTCTTAGTTTTTAAATTTTAGCTTTGATTTTGAAAATGCTTTTATATGTTAGATGATGAGATATGTAGGTGAAAGTAGTGTTTACAATTTTAATTTCCAGAACTAAAACAAAAAAGAAAATGGTTACTAAAAAGCTCTTTTAACTATCAACTCTGTGAGCAAAAATCTTGCTTACCAACTTTAAATTTTTTACGAGTAGGAGCCCTAGGATGGTTGCAACAACGGAAGGAGAAAATAAATACTTTTTTTCTTTTTGTGCTTGGTATACGATCCAAATCCTATTTCTTTGTTTGGTAGAATTATTTTTTAAAATTATTTTTGGATTATATGATTAAATGACAACTTCTTTTATGTTGGGAGTGTTTTCAAATTTAAAATTTGAAACTATGAAATATATAATTACATCAAAAAAAGTTTAAAAATTTTATAAAAATATTATTTCATGTGTTACAAACTCATTTTAATTTAGATGGAACCAAATATTGAACTTGTCTAATGGTTATAAATATATTACTAAATATATATTGAACAAATTTTCAAATTGAGATTCAATTTTCAAATATGCTTCCAAATACATATTCAAAACACTTAAAACATGAAATAAAATTCCTTTTTCATGGAATCTTTCTTTTTTTTTTTAATAATTTATGTTTTGGGATCACCAATCAAATGCTACTTCTTGTTTTTTTTTCCTAATAAATAGTTTTGAGATAACTTTTGAAATTAATATTTTTAAAGTGAACTTGCATAATTTTCGGAAAAGTGAAAATATCTATAGTCAATCAAAAGGATTTTTCAAAAGATTTGGGTTTCGTTGCATTGCTAAAACTGTTTTGAAATTTAAAAAAGAAAAAATAAATAAATGCTTAATTGGCGATTCTTTCGAAAAAGTGTCAATAGAATATATATACGTGAACCCATTGTTGCTATATTTTAGAATTCTAACGACATAATTTTGAAATTTCTAATAACACTTTTGGTCATAGATCTAAATATCATGATAAATTTGAACACTAAACTAATTATAATTCGTACTTTTGGGAACGAAACATACTAATTACAGCATAAGAAAAAACATAATTATTTTTAAAATTTGTTCACAAAAGTCATGAGTGGAAGAGCGTCAAATAATTAAATTTCAAGTTTATACGGAAAGAAAATAGAAGAATCAAATCATGGGCAGTTATGGAAAATGAAATATTAATTTCTGTTGACTTTTAGTAAAATTTCCATAAATACATGTTATCTCTTATTATATCTTTTTGCTCTTATGGAATGAGAAATGGAAAGTTAGAATCTCTGTACCCTCTTTTTCAAGAAAAAGTATAAATAGTATAGTCCCTCCCCACTTCATAACTTTTTTTTTCCTTTGAAAGAATAAATATATTTGTTGTTAAGAATTATAATTATA